ATACTTCATTTCTTTGTGTTGGGAGCAATTCATATGGTTTCTACTAGATATTTTAAAATATTTAAATAATTCATTTAATTGATGCCAAATTTTCTAACCCTGCCATACTTTAAACATAGAAGTTATTCCTTCTTTATGAATATGTGCCCATTAATTATCCTCTTACCATACATTCACAAACATTGTCAGGCATGATTCTTACTTTTCTGAAATCAACTTAGCATCCACATCTAAGTGAGTACATGTAGCATTTGTCTTTTTGTTCCTGATTATTCCATTTAATATATCTTCTACTATATATGTGGGTAATGTATTTTCATTGTATACTTGTCTTTCACTATACATCTTGGTTAATTCCATTTCTTGACTATTATAAATAGTGCTGCAGTAAAATGAGTAAAGATGTTTCTTTGACATACACAATGTCTACTCCTGTGAAAAAATATCCAATAGTATAAATGCTGTATTGTGGGACAGTTCTAATGTATTTCAGATTTCTCTATACTGTATTATATGGTGACTGTATTGGTTAACATCCCCACTGTCCCCTGTTTTGTTTCTCTGCCTACATCTCTTAGTGTTTATCTTTTGGGTAATTGGCATTTTAACAAAAGTAAGATAATTTCGTATTGTAGTTTTGGTTTGCATTAGATACATAGTTGAATATTGTCCATTGTAGTTAAATACTCGAAGCAATAACTTTAGTTTAATTTTTTGGTTTTTTATGTATATTTATTATTTTTTTTCTTATTCTACATATCAATCCCAGTTCCCTCTCCCTCCCTCCCATCCTCCCCACCCACCCCCCACTCCACAGGGAGGATGATACCTTCAAGTAGGGCTCTGTCAAGTCATTTGGAGTAGGGACTAGGCTCTCCCTACTGCCTCTAGGCTAAGGGAGTATCGCTCCACAGGGCATGTGCTCCCAAAGTCCTTTTGTGCACCAGAGACATATCCTGGTTCCACTGTCAGAGGTCCCTTAGACTGCCTAGGCCTTCTAACTGAGACCCATGTTGAGGGGGTCTGATTCGGTCCAATGCTGGTTTCCCATCAATCAGTCTGGGGTCCACAAGCTCCTCCTTGTTCAGGTCAGCTGTCTCTATGGGTTTCTGTAGCCTGGTCTTGACCCCTTTTCTTATTACTCCTCCCTCTCTGCAACCGGATTCCAGGAATTTGGCTCAGGATTTAGCTGTGAGTGTCTGCTTCTGTTTCCATCAGCTACTAGATGAGGGCTCTATGATGGCATATAAGTTGGTTATCATTCTCATTATCAGGGAAGGGCATTTACAGTAGCCTTTCCACTGTTGCTCAGATTGTTAGTTGGGGTCATCCTTGAAGGTCTCTGGACATTTTTCTAGAGTCAGTTTTCTCATAAAACCTATAATATCTCCCTCTATTATGGTATCTATTTTTTTCTCTCATCTATTAGTTCCCTGACTCAACCTTCCAAGTCCCACATGTTCGCCTCTCCTCCCCTTTTCTTTCTCCTAACTCCATCTCCATTCACTGCCTCCCCCACACCTAATATGCTCAGATTTTGTTCCTTTACCCTTCTATGAGGGATCTTGTATGAATCTCTTAGACTCCTCCTTGTATCCTAGCTTCTCTGGCAGTGTAAATTATAGGCTGGTGATCCTTTGCACTATGTCAAAAATCCATATATGAGTGAGTACATACCATGTTCCTCTTGTTGTGACTGGGGTACCTCATTCAGGATGGCTTCTTCAAGTTCCATCCATTTGCCTGTGAATTTCAAGAGTCCATCCCCTCCCCCCACTGAGTAGTAATTCCATTGTGTAAATGTGCACATCTTCTTTATCCATTCTTAAGTTGAGGGGCATCTAGGTTGCTTGCAGGTTCTTGCTATTACAAATAATGCTGCTATGAACATAGTTGAACAGATATGTTTGTTGCATGGATGTGGATCAGTTGAGTATATGCCTAAGAGGGGGATTGCCGGGTCCTGTAGTAAACTAATTCCCATTTTCCTGAGGAACCGCCATACTGATCTCCAAAATGGCTGTACGAGTTTGCACTCCCACCAGCAGTGGAGGAGTGTCCCCCCCTTCTCCACATCCTCTCCTGCATAAATTGTCATTGGTGTTTCTAATATTAGCCATTCTGGCAGGAGTAAGATTACAGGTATCTCAGAGTTGTTTTGATTTGCATTTGCCTGATAGCTAAGAATGTTGAGCACTTTCTTAAGTGTCTTTCAGCCTTTTTGAATTCCTCTATTGAGAATTCTTTCTTCAGTTCTGTACCCCATTTTTTAATAGGGTTGTTGGGTGTTTTGTTGACTAGTTTCTTGAGTTCTTTGTATATTTTGGAGATCAACCCTCTGTCAGATGTTTGAATTGTTTCCTTCATCTGTTTGTTTTTTCTTGGCTTTCCTTACTTTCTTTAAGAGATTTGTTTTTTTCTTCCATTTCTTTAAGGGATTTTCTCATATCACCTTTGAGGTCCTCTGTAATTTTTATGAAGTTATATTTTAAGTCGTTCTCTTCTGCTTCATTTGCTTTGGTGTGTTCACTTCCAGTTTGTGTAGAATCCCTAGATTCTGGTGGTGTCATACTGGTCATTGTATTGTTAGGTGTTTTCTTGTATTTCAGTATTCTCATCACTTCTTCCAGTGGGTGCAGGTGGAGTCTCTCTCTCTCTTTCTCTTTCTACCCTGCTCTCCTGGTGGGTGTAGTTGGGTCAGGAGTTCTATGTCTGCAACTCTGGATGATCTAAGCTCTCTTGGAAGTCTCTCCCCCAGCAGAGGACAGGTGATAGGGTCCAAAGTTCAGGCTAGTGCATCCTCAAGGTGGTCTCACGTGAATAGGCGGGTCCAGTGTGCTCAGAGCAGACCCAGCAAGTTCCAAGAAAATTGAGGATTTGTTGGACGTGCACACTGTCCCAGTTCTCACCTGGAGCAGTAACTCAGTGGAGCTGTGGGCCCAGTAGAACAAAGGGTAGGGGGAGGACAGGCTCTGGGTTCTGTATGCAGCAGAGTACCAGGACTGTACTATTCAGGCTGAGGATGGGAGAGGGAGCGAGATGTGGAGGTAACCCAGGGAGTTTACAGGGAAGGAGGGGGGGTGGGGATTCAGCCTGAACTGCTCCCAGACTCACTTCTTCTGGCAGAGCGATGGAGGCAACAGGGTGCAAAGATCAGGGGAGTGTGGCCTCAAGATGGTCCTGTGTGGATAGGCGAGTTCAATGTGCTCAGAGCAGTCTGAGGAAGTTCTGGGTGGGGATGGGGGTGGACCCGCCCTCTGGCCCAATGCTCACTCAGAGCAGTGGGCCCAGCAGGACAAAAAAGCAAAGCAATCACTGTTGAAGTCAAAGTTCAACTCATTTAATGAAATTAATGTCTTAATGTCCACTTTTTCCACTGGAAAACTAGGGAAACTAAAATATATTAGTACACGTTGTAGAGCAGGATAGCAATCACATGCCAACCATTGTTAACTCCCCAAACTACCTGGAGGTAGCAATAGTTACCTCCACGTTTTAAGGGTAGAAAACAATTGCAGATGCTTTAAAATGTGTGGGCTATATTCATGGTAGTAGAAAAATCATAACTTTTTTCTATTAGCCAATAATTTGTTTATAAAGTTCCTACTTTCTTTTACAACTTTCTAATTATCCTTGTTCCTTTCTTAAATTTCTTAGTCATTCTTATGGCATTTTCATGTGGCTATATTGTACTGTGCTTCTATTTACCTCCTCAGCCCCCCATCCCACCCAGTTTGCCCACTTTTGTTCCTCTTCACTCACCTCCCTCTGAGGACATTGTGCCAACTGGTTAAAGTTGCATGTCTGAGTAATTAACTCCATATTCTAAACTCAAATGCACTACAACGGAGTACCCAAATCCACACATTGAATTGCTTCTTGATGCCTTCCAAAGAAATTAATCTATCTGCCTTTTCTTGCATGAGCAAGAAGTTAACAATGCAGCTCCTGAGAAAGGTGAAGCCATTTCCACACCACTTGTTTTGTATGCTAGCACAATAGAGGTATAGTAAAAGCACATGTAAGTGGCACATGATCACACACTTCCATCAGAACTGACAAGTATACATGTGTATCATGAGTGAGACAGGGTAGAGAGCACTTCCTCTACTACATGGAATTTCTCAATGCTATTCTCTAGAAACATATTTTTGTATCCTATGGAACACAAGGTTACCTGATCAAGCATATATGGAAACTGACCATTTGTATTTTTAGATGGTCTGGCATGATTTTTATAAAGATAATTTTTATCATCTATATAAATAAATTACCAAACTTTTGATCAAAAACCACTTTTCTCAGAGAATATGTATCACAGTCTCTAAGAAACTGGAAGACTTTATAAATGAATGAAAATTTTTCTCAAGCTGCTAATATTTTCTTGAATTCATGATTTTAATTCAACTAACCCCTATGTGCCTTAATTTCTTTATTTGTAAAATAAGTATAAATAATACTATCTAAAAATATAATTCTATCTATAAAAATAAATTCTATCTATAAAATATAAATGTTAAATTGCTTAATATTTATAAAGAACTTACTATTGCTTACTTAGCAATAGTAAGAGGTTAGTAAATGATATATAAATATTTGATAGATAAAATATATTTTAAATGTAATATACCACAATATAGAACTATTATTACACTATTAAGTTTTTACATTACTATTTCATAATTTACTTTATACCAATATCTTTTACCATATCATAATATGTTTCCAATGTCTGTATCAACCTTACAAATGATAAAAATTATAAGCTCAAATTTTATTTCATACTGAAATCCCAGCCTTTCTGAGTTAATAAGACTGAGTTGGAGACATCCAGCTTTTTATGGATGGCTCATCACAGAAAAGAAGAAGGGAACCTTCCCTTGGAGTCATTTTTCAGAAGTCAAAAATGTCTAGGAAAAAGAATTTCTTTCATATAAGTAAGGTAAATTTTAAAGATTGCTCTACATCTATTGAATTCTTGAAAATTGCTTTGTTTCCAGGTTTCACTTTCTGGCAGGAGAGCCCAGAGGAGATGTCCTTGATAACTCATTCACTGGAGGAATATGTAAAACTGTCAAAAGCAGTCGAGCTAGTAATCCATACCGTGTTCCAGCCAATCTGGAAACTGTCAACTTCAAGGTATGGCAGTCTAGCTTGGTGGGCACTCCAACACTGATTGTGGTTATAAGCCTAGTTTCTAGTGGAGATTTTACATATTACAGGTGAAAAACAAATTATCCTCCAAGAACCTACATACACGTAAACAGTTACCTTTCAGGCTTCCTACAGATCAGGAATCTTTCAGCCATAATTGTTTACACAGGCAGTAGTTATTTCAATTTCCAGAAAAATAAGTTACTATTTTCACTTTTCATATGTTAGAGTCTTGTTGAAGTATCTTAACTAACCATCCAATTATTTGTTATCTAGTTACATGAAGTAAATTGCTTAAATCTTTGTTTTAGCTATGATGCACATCTAAACCGGTGAACACATTTCCCAATAATCAAAAAGAACTTGAGCTCCTGGGACTCAATTGTTTTCCTTAATCTTTAACTTAAACCACTCCTCAAGAGTAGTCTATATAACTCCTCTATACAGAGACACACATAAGTCCTAACTGCATGGCATTTTCTTGTTTCTATTTTCTATTTTGTAGTTCCTGCTTTATCAGGAGCAGGGGCAACACCATATCCTGCCTTTGCCTATATTAGATTTCTCACTAAACTAACCTCTATCATAATCCCTTACTATATTAGTTAAAAGTCCTAAATCATCAAAATTCTATTTAAACTAACACTGTTATTATATTAAACCATTACTGTGGTTAAGTAATACAGCTTAAGAGGAAATCATCTTCATAATAATCCACAAGTAAAAATGCCCAGTAGAATGGGACATTTCCATGAGATAACCACACTACATTAAAAGCAGTGGGGATCTCCCCACACCCATTCATCCCATGCCAGAAAACAAGGAAATATGGCAGTGGCAAACATGTGAAGGTATAGTGCTAACAAGAGACATTCTGGAGCCAAAGCCCTAAAGACTTTGCCTATCCAAGATTCATCCATCAATGTCTTGCACTCTGGTGAGCCAAACTCCTGAAGCTCAATTGTCACATGTTGTTCCTCTGACATGGCCACAGGCAAAAGAGAGTGGAGATAGGGTCATACAGAATCTCTCCTACCCTCTTTTGTCTCAATAGCAGATCTCTGAAATATACTTTCCATTAAATTCCACACCACACTAAAACTCACAATCAGTCTTAAAATCGGCCTGATCATTGGGACTATCATAATGAAAAACTTTACTCTGCATAATTAAGATGTGCAAAAATAGCCATTCAAGCAGTGCACAGGTATACACATAAGCAAAACACTCATATACATAAAGTTATAAAAAGTAGAGGTCTACGGTACATACTGCTGTCAGGTCATGAGGATGGCTGTGGTCTGTGTTGTCACCAGACACCATGTAGAAGTCCATGATCTATGATCCTACTGATTGTAAAGGACAAGAAAGGTACTATTGGAGTGATATCTATGGCTACAGTTAAGAAAGGGAAACAGAAGGCTTCTGTGATAACCTCACCAAAGTAAAAGCCTAGATAGGAAGACATAGAAGAGAAATGTTAAAATCATGATAAGGATACTGTAGTGTAGCTGTCTACAGTTGATGGCTTCTGGAAGGGCTGTGGTTGGGGAAGGACTCTTTTTTTTTTTTTTTTAAGAGACTGGCCACCAGAAGTTTGACCACACTGTAGTGAATATATGGACAACACAAATTGAACTATTGTATCCTTCTTTTTCTTCTTCTTATTCTCCTTCTTCTTCTTCTCCTCCTCCTTCTTCATCTTCTCTTTCTCCTTCTCCTCCTTCTTCCTCCTTCTTTTCCTCCTCCTCCTCTTCTTCTTCTGGAGTCACAAGGGTAGAGTAATGGAACTGGAAGGACTGGAAAAGAGTGTGGTTAGGGTTCATGATGTATAATTCCTAAAAGTCAATGAAAATATTATATATCTTGAAGCTTGTTGTCTTCAAGCCTAGGTTCTGTGTTCTTTCCTTAACCAAGCTACTCAAAATATTGCCTCTCCAAATCTATGTTTAGTTATGGAATCTCATTAGTATTGCATCTACCATACCAGATTCTCTCCATAACTGATGTTTTATATATATAATCTTTTGGACAGGTACAAACTGTAGAAGATGACTTCAAAACAAATTTCTACAAAGATTTAACTAATCTTGGAAATAATAAAAATGAAACTTCCTTGTTGTCACGTGACCAGAAACAGTCTTTTGATGTGCCAATTATTTATTCCTCAAAGACAAGTAGAAGATCCAAACATAACTCAGCCATCAAGGAAGCCATTCAAGCCTCCCACAAAAAGGTAAGGAAAAGAGTTCCCCATCATTCATTCTTTCATTCTTTCTTCAGAATTAGTGCCTAGCCAAGCAACAAGAAGCTTAACATTTCTGTATGCTTGGGATTCCTAAGAGATGTTCAAATAGACTTGCTTTTTTCTGATCAAGTCTCTTTTAATGAATATAATAACAAAGTTTAAGTAGTGGAGAAATGAGGGAATGGGACAAAGGGAGGATGTAAGGGAGGCAGAATGTCCTTCCAAGCAGAATGCAGGTGTCCTGCTATAACTTGCTATATGATAAGACTGCAGCTGGGACTCTTTGAGGGTCAGGCTGCATCATGTTTAACAAGAGAACAGTCATAAGGGAATGGAAAATTACCAGTATGTTTGTATCTAAGAGAGTAGTAGGGAGGATGGCTGTTAAGATGCTAACTTTGCTCTGGGGTTCTCCACAAATCTTATCTCTCTTCTCACACTCATACTTTTGCTCTGCCCAGATGATTGTCAAACATTTACTGTCCACTGACTTCCCTAAATTCATTTACTATCCAGATGTCCTCAGACATCAAACACTCAGTGATAACCATTAAATATTGTGGGGAACCCCAGAGCAAAGTTAGACTTGCTTTTTATGTTTTTGATTTTTTTTAAATAATGTATTTTTCATATTACATTCCAACCCCAGTTGCCCCTCTCTCCCCTTTTTCTCCCACATCCCTACTTCCCTACCTTCCCACCCCTATCCACTCCTCAAAGGAAGTAAGGCCTTCCTTGAGAAGGCCAAAGTCTGGCACACCAAGTTGAGGCAGGACCAAGCCCCTCCCTCATGTATCAAGGCTGAGCATAGGCTCCAAAAAGCCAGTTCATGCACCTGATCCAGGTACCACTGCCACCCTACCACCACCAAAAGATCATATCACATGACTGTCACCCACATCAGAGTCTATAGTTCAGTCTCATGCAGGTTCCCCAGCTGTGAGTTCATAGTCTGTGACCTACCACTAGTTCCTGTAGGCTGTCTCTGTGGTTTTCCCCATCATGCTTCAACCCCCCGACCTTTGTTCATATGATCACACCTCCCTCTCTTCAACTGAACTCCAGAAGCTCAGCCCAGTGCTTGGCTGTAGTAAATTCATTTCTTTTAACTCTCACTTTTGAATTTAAAGGGGTGCTGCACCACAAAACTTCCCTTATACGACCTGGGCTGTGGGAGTTGTACTTGTTTTATTTTCAGTTTCCTGTCCCATTCTGTGGTCAATATGGATTGTTTTCAAAACATAAGGCTCTTTTTTAGTTTTTATTTGCGTGTATGTATGTGTGAGCAAGTGTTTGCCACATGTGTGAATGCCCACAGAGGCCAGAAGAGGGTGTGGGAATCCCTTGAACTAGAATTACAAACAATTGTGAGTTACTGGAAGTTGGTGCTCGAACCAAACCCAGGTCCTCTGGAAAAACAGCCAGTTCTCTCACCTGCTGAGCCATCTCTCTAGCCCTCAAGAGGGCTATTTTTTTAAGCATCTATAAATTATAGGAAGTAAAAGATTTCGTTTCTTTATGATGTTGCCAATGACGGGGCTATTTTCTTTAGATGCCTGTGATTTCAACATATTTTCTTCATTTTTAAAAATCTTTTAAGAATTTTATATATGACTTTCATATATTTATATCATTTCCACTCTTCCTCCCTCCTCTTACTCCTCACTGCCACTCCATTCCCTCTCAAAGTTAAGAAATTGTCTTCCTCATTGTTGTTATACACACACATGTGCATGCACACACAAGTGCATGCACGAATGTGCACACACAAGTCCTTGGCCTGCTGAGCCCATTTAATGTTGCTCACATGTACATGTGCTCAGAGCTGATAACTTGAGATTTTATAACCTATTGGACAGTGTGTCCCTGGAGAAAACTGGTTCTCATTCTCTCAGCAGCCATTGATTACCTACAGATCTTAGTCTAGGAGATGGGGCCTTGTGAAATTACCCCATCCCCCATCTATGCTTGGGTGTGTTGATTGGTTTGGTCATTATGCAGGTCTTGTTTAGGTAACCATAATGTTGAGATCTCATGGACTGTAACTTCCCTGTCCAGTTTAAAATACCTTTTAAAAATATTGTGCATTCTATTACGGTGAGTGTGTGTATGTGTGTCTTTCCATGTGAATGTATATACCCCACAGTAAGTAAGTAGAGGTCAGAGCATAACTTGTTGGAGTTTGATGGGAGATGTCATTATGTATATATGTTTCTCATACTGGTTAATGAATAAAGCACTGTTGGCCAATAGGAAAGCAAGATAGGAGGGACTAGGAGACAAGGAGGAAAAAGGAAGTAGTAAAGAGAGTCAGCATGGAGAGACCGGGGAGACCAGATGCCTGCCCCACTCCCTGGTAAGGAGACCACATGGAAATACATAGAAATGGGTTAATAATTAAGACAGAGCTAGTGGATAAGAAACAAGTAACCAGGCCAACAGCATTGTATCAGAGAATCTGTGTATTATTTGGGGCTGGCGCAGCGGCAGAACAAGACTAGGCAGCGGGAGGAAAAACCTTTCCCGTTACAGGAGTTTATTCTCTCTTGCTATCACCCCAGTCTCAGGGGTCAGACTCAGGTCATCAGGTTTGCCTTAACTAACTGAATACGTCTCTTACAAATCATACAAATCTTACAAAACTTTATCTTTTTATATGCAATCTGCTTTGGGCTTTCTATAGACACATACACTCCCTTCTTCTAATCTATTAATTCATACTATCTAGGGATCTGGTCTTTGATCAAATCCTCATATCACCCTGGCAAAGCATCCATAACTATATATAATTATCTAAAAGTGTAGCATAGAGAGGGAAGAATATGAGGATACTGAATAAATGCAGGTGACCTACAGTGGTGGCGGGACATTAAGACAGATATCACATAGTTGATATATATGTTTTAAACACTCTAGAGAACACACATAAAAACCCTTTTCTGGGTAAAGAGATAGTTTTTATCTTAATAGTCTTTCCAAAAGTCAAAACATCTGGGGCTATTTACAGGCTAAAGCATATGAATTTGCTACTTTTCAGCCATTCTGCCTGAAAATTATCACCCTGGTGTGGCTCAACCCAATATCATGATAGACATAGAAGATAGAGTCCATCTGAATGGTGCATGTCCTTATTCTAGTCTACCTAAGGAGAAAATGCTACTGTGACCTTTCTAGGTCTGCAAACACTGAGGCACACCAGAAACTTGTGAATTGATCCAGGCCCTTCCTTTGATCCCAATGTGTGCTGTTGTTTTCTTCTGTCCATCCCAGATTTGATTAGACTTACTCACTGGACAGAGAATCGCTTCAGAGCAAAAAAATAACCAATTCCATGAGGCTTGGTTGCTGGGGGATGTCCTTCTGTATATATGTTTCTCTTATTGGTTGATGAATAAAACACTGGCCAATAACCAGACAAAAAGTATTGGAGGAGCTACCAGACCAGGAGAAAGCTGGTGAAAGGAAGGCAGAGAAGGGGCCACCAAGAGAGACCATGTAGATACCAGAAAGATAAGATGCACCAGGAGTTCTCTGGTAAGATAAGGCCATGAAGAAATATGTAGATTAGTAGTTATGGGTTCGTAATTAAGACAAAGCTAGCCAATAAGAGGGCCCAGTCATCAGCCAACAGTTTTATAATTAAAATAACATCTGTGTGCTTATTTGGGGCTGAAGGGCAGCAGGTCATAGTGGAACAGAAATTCTTGTCTTCATTTTGTGATTATCTCACTTACTTTACAAAACTGAAACCACAAAATAAAATCCAAGCACAGGAAGATCTCACAGATTGATAAAACGTGTTTATATTCCTTAACGCCCTGGTATAATGTAACTTCTTGGTCTAAACTAGACAGTTCCAGCCCATATGCAGTAGTGGTGCATCAGGGCTATGCTTCTGCTATGCTGAGCTATCAAAGTTGAGTAGATGTTTCCCGTGATCCATCCTGTAAAGAAAACTATATATATTCAACCTCCAAAAGCTTACATTGAAGATACTTGTCTCTTGACAAAACCACAGAGATGCTCCAAGTTTTGGGGTTGTTTGACAAAATTCAAATGTAAAAGTTCATAGAGTTAATGGGAACATACTGAAACATGAACTCAACAAAGGAACAATCTTCCTCTGCCTCTCTCACTTCTACAGCAAGTGCATCTGACATAACTGAACAAAAGTTAAATAGAAGACAATAACATAAGAAGGGAAGACACTGAGGAGTGGGAAGAAAGAGTAAATGATAGCCCCTTTTCATCCTTGCAATGGTTTAGGTTTTTGCATTAGCAGTTTCTGATGTCATAATTATAGCATACAGAAAAATGGCTGTTTTGTAATTAACAGTTACAGTAAAATCTTTTGCTAAAACATAGTAGTTATTATGTTATTATTGCTTATATAACACAATTTGTTACCATTGAGAGATGAGATTAAATGCATACTTTGTAAATACAGTGTATCTGAATATATTCATAAACAGTAATAGTTATGTGAGGGAATGTAAAGGAATGAGACCATACCACAGTATCAACTGTTTAACCTCAAATTAACCTATATAATAAGACATGAGGAAATAAACAAATATGTTTGCAAAAAAATTTAAAAAAAACCTTCCTACTTCTGCATATGGGTGGCAGAGATGGAATATAAAGGAAAAATTAGTTTAATTGTATTACTTATTGGCAGAAAATGTGTTCTTTAGCACTGAGAGTGTGAAATGTCATCTGATGTATATTTTCATCTGGGAATGGAGAGCTAAAGTCTACAGAATGTAATGTTTCTTTGTAGTTAGTGAATATCACCCACAACACTTCCAGTTAAACTTCATGTAATCCTTTCTTATTTTCAACTATTTGAATTAGGGGCATTCAAATAAAAGCTCACTGGTGGTGCAGCTATGCACGGACAGTCACAAATACTGACGTTTCTGAATACTGATATCCTCCTTGGGAGAGAATGCATGCCAAAGCCACATGGTGTTCATTATTGAGACAGTCTCATCAGTTTAGCTGTTTGAACATTTCAGGAAATATATTGGCATGCCGCATGAAGATACAGCTAGTGTATGAACATATGCAATAGAGTGGAATTATTTTCATCCTGTGGTAGGAATGAGCTAATATGAAAATGATTACTTTTGAAGAATGGATGCCTCTGTGTTTTTGGGGGGTTTTTTTGTTGTTGTTGTTTTGTTTTGTTTTGTTTTTATCTCTGTCTCTGTTTTCTTAGTTTTATTTTTTCCTTATGCTTTTTGCCCCTTTACTTAGGATTCCAACTTTGTTCGGATCCATAAAACAATAAAAGTCTTCAATTTCACCATGAAAACGACAGACCTGCAGCTGTCAGATGTCTTTCTAAAAGCCCTGCACCATCTGCCTTTAGAATACAACTCGGCTTTGTATAGCCGGATATTTGATGACTTCGGGACCCACTACTTCACCTCAGGCTCTCTGGGGGGCAAGTATGACCTTCTCTACCAATTCAGCACTCAGGAGCTTCAGAACTCAGGTGTGTTGACAATAGCATGGCATACATCTTTTCTCCTACTACTTCCTTCTAGTGACTCTTCTTTGACTTTATTTAGACCTTTCTTGTTGTTGCAAAAATTGAGATGAAGAATAACCAAAAGCAAACACACTGAAATAAACAAAATAAAATAAAATAATAAATAATAAATAAGGACTGTTGAAGAAGAAGGAGGAGGAGGAAGAAGAAGGAGGAGGAGTAGAAGAAGAAGATAATGAAGAAGAAGAAAATGAAGAAGAAAGTATGTTTAACCTCTGTGGCCCAATATCAGTCATGGAGTCATGGTCACTTAAACAAGATTGTCAGTACCTCAAGAACACGAAATTGTTCCTCAAACTTTTATATAATTTACTTACAACTTTTTATAGCAAATAACATATCACAACAATTTACAGCAAATTCAATAGCAATTATTTTCTTAATGATTTTAAGTAAAGACCAATGGTGTAAGACAAAAGAATAATTAGGGACTTGATAAGAAACTAAGTTAATGTAGGACAAATATTCATTACTGTTGAAATTTGCAAACACAAAGGTCTTTATTTTAAGAAGGCTTTAAATGTTATGTCCTAAGGAACAGATGTTTTAGTTTATATGGAAAATTGCAACATACACCAAGCATCTTGGTTTCTTGAGTTTTAGCTAAAATTTCAAATACTAATTATCATTATTATTATTATACATATAAAATCTTTGGATTGCTTTATTTTCAGACACTTGTGTGAAATTAAACAGTGCCTTGTAATGATTTCTCATGTGTGCCTTGGGATAAAAACTTGGAAATAATGGTCACCAGAAAATAACTCACAAATCCCCCAAAGAAGTCAAAATTAATCATCACTAAATTTTTGTACAAAAGTACATAAAAATTTATTTTAAGATACAGTATCAAACAGTCATAGGATCATTATTCCTCATCTCCTATTCTTTAGTATCAGTATAGAAAATAGTGATGTGTGATATGCCCTTCCCTGAGTCCTTCCAAACCATGGGTTCCTTCTTGATGTCTTTCCCAATAGAGGAGATTAAATAAATGTCATTCAGGATGGAAAAAAGCTTTAAACATTGACCTGGTGTGTTTACTAAAACCAAGACATAATCCTGTGATGTGCTGTCCATAGTACTTGCCTGTTGTGTTTCATTTCAGTCATTATTTTTATTGTAACAAGGCTTGCCTTCTACCACCTAAAATGGCATCAACATCATGATTGTGCACAAGTAGTTAGGAGGAACTCCTAGACCTTTAACTCCATCAAAACTGCAGTAGTTAGGAGGAACTCCTAGACCTTTAACTCCATCAAAACTGCAGGTGAAATTATTCTGGTCACCACTACTGTGACCTAGATGAAGGTTTCCTATTCAATGAGTGTTCCTGTCATGCATTCACAGCAAAGCTTCTTTTAAAAAAATCATTTTATATACAAACTACAGTTCCCCTCCCTCCCTCCCCTTCTTCTGCTCCCCCTTCCTCCTCTAGAACCTACCTCCATCCACTACTTAGAAAGGGTGAGGCCTCCCATGGGAGTCAACAAAGCTCATGCACCCACAATAGAACCTGGTCCCAGTGCCAGAGGCCCCTCAAACAGACCAAGCCACATAACTGTTGCCCACACGCAGAGGACCTAATTCAGTTCCATGCAGTTCCCCAGCTATAGATCTAGTTCCATGAGCTCCTAAGAACTTGGGTCAGCTGTCTCTGTGAGTTTCCCAATCATGATCTTGACCCTGCCTCTTGCTCATATGATCCTTCATCCCCCTCTTTCCTCTGTACTCCTGTACCTTGACCTGGTTGGTGCTTTACTGTGGATCTCTGAGTTTGATTCCATCAATTACTGGATGAAGGTTCTATGATGACAGTGAAGATATTCACCAAACTGATTACAACTGAAGCCCAATTCAGACATCCTCTCCACTATTGGTTGGAGTATTAACTGGGGTCATCCTTGTGGATTCCTGGGAATTTCCCTAGCACTTGGTTTCTCACTAACCCCATAAAGGCTCCCTTTATCAAGATATCACTTCCATTGGTCTCCCCACTCCATCCATCCCCCAACTTGACCATCCTATTCCCTCATGTTCTCATCCCCTATCTCCCACCCTCTATCACCCCTCCACCCCCAATTTACCCAGGACATCTCATTTGTTTTGCCTTCCCAAAGCAATCCATGCACCACTCTTAAAGGTTTTTCTTGTTACCTAACTTCTATGGAGCTGTGGATTGTAGTCTGATTATCCTTTGCTTTACATCTAGTATCTACCTATGAGTGAGTACATACCATGTTTGTCTTTCTGTGTCTGGTTTATCTCATTCAGGATGATTTATGTTCTTGTTCCATCCATTTACCTGCAAACTTCAAGAGTCATTGCTTTTTCCAAGTGAGTAGTACTCCATTGTGTAAATATATCATTTTTTTTTTTTATCCATCCTTACAGTTGAGGGGCATCTAAGTTGTTTCCTGGTTCTGGCTATTACAAATAATGCTGCTATGAACATAGATGAGCAAGTGCCCTTGTGGTGTGATTGAGCATTCTGATTTGCATTTCCTTGATGATTAACGATATTGAACAATTCCTTAAATGTCTTTGAGCCATTTAAGATTCTTCTGTTGGTGGCAAACACTTTAATTCCAGCACTCAGAAAGCAGAGGCAGGCAGATCTCTGTGAGTTCGAGGCCAGACTGATCTATAGATCTAGTTCCAGAACAGGCTCCAAAGCAATACAGAGAAACCCTGTCTCAAAACAAACAAACAAAAATTCTTCTGTTAAAAATTCTGTTTAGATCTGTACCCCATTTATTAAAATTTTATTATTTGGTATTTTGATGTTTACTTTTCTTGAGCTCTTTATATATTTTGCATATCAGTCCTCTGTCAGATGAGTGGTTGGTGAAGATCTTTTCCCATTCTGTAGGCTGCTGTTTTGTCTTATTTACTGTGTCCTTTACCTTTCAGAAGCTTTTCAGTTTCAGGAGGTTCCATTTATTGATTGTTGCTCTCAGTGTCTGTGCTACTGGTGTTGTATTTAGATAGTGGTCTCCTGTGCATTCGAGGCTACTTCCCACTTTCTCATCGATCAAGGTCAGTGTAATTATATTTATGTTGAGGTAGGTCTTTGATCCACTTGGACTTGAGTTTTGTACATGATGACAGATATAGATCTATTTACAATCTTCTACATGATAAAACCCAGTTATACCAGCACTATTTGCTTTCTTCTTTCCATTGTGCATTTTTTGCTTCTTTGTCAATAATCTGTGTTCATGGGTGTACAGGTTAATGTCAGGGTCTTCAATTCAATTCCACTGGGCTACCTGTTTGTTTTTATATAGAAAAGCTTCTTATTGCTTTGAAACTAGGACAAAGAACTGTATGGATCTTTAACAAACCACCCAATATTTCAGTAGTTGAAGGCCTGTAACCAAAACAAAGGAGTGACAGGCTCTGCTTTCCTGTTAAAACATTCTCACCTTCAATCACATTCTCTACAAACAGAAGGGTAAATTGACAAGGGCACCCTCGTACATATTCATATACATATACACTAAAAAAACACACAAACATTATATATACATATTTTGTAGTATTTGCAGCATACATATGCATGTGGCTATATCCCATACATCTAATAATATTGTGTACAATTATATTATTCTTATAACCTGAATTTTTGGGGCTTTTATCTGAATGTTTTTATGTTCAGAAAACTTCTGAACTACAGTAATATGGCTGTGCCATCTTAATTATGATGAAAATGAAGACCACTGGGACAGAACAAATCCTAATAGAATGGAATTCTCCAAAGGGTGGGCTTCCGTACATTTCCCTCTGAATGAACCTTCTCTTTTTATCACTTTCTTTATCTAGAAGTAAGATTAAAACTAGACTTAAATTTAAGGCATTGCTAAGCTTTATTTAATAACAATTACACTTCTTCTCATTTGTTTTATAATAGCTTGGGTGTTCCATAGTACCTTTTTTCCCTCAAGAATACAATTAAATCAAACTGTGTTTTGCTTGTATCCCTTTACTGTCTCATTCCTCTGTTGTTCAGTGTCCCCATCAGTATGCTAAGAATTTGAGTAAAAGTTGATGTGGCTTCAGCATACAAGGTGAAAGATTTTCACAAACATGGTATAATCTGTAAATAGTGGAGATATTCTAAACAAGAGGGTAATTTTGAGTCCTTTTGTGAGGAAGTCATCTTCTGCTCTGAATTTGAGATGAAAAAAGAATACCTTAGTATTTCTCAGCATAATGTTTCTTAAATTTTTTCCAAGCCTTTATTGTATATTAATAAAAACAAATATTTGAGCACAATATTTTGGCTCATTCTGCTGACTTGCTCATTCAGGGAAGATTTAATTGCTACAGAAACACTCATTCCTTTGCCATAGCATAGAGAAAATTAAGTGTGACAGATCAGGTACCACCTGAGAAACTCCCCCAGTTAATGTATATAGTGACCATGCAATGCACCACTCATGTGGACCAAAAGACATGCACAAAATGTCACATGTGAAACCTTGATTCTTTAATCACTGTATTAACAACATCACGAAACAGAGTCATTTCTCATTTCTTTAAGGATCCCATGTAGTCCTCAAATATATGAAATCAACTTTGGCCTTAGGTAAATCTTTGTGTTATAATTAGTCACATAAAATTTAATTCTAATTTATAAATGTTAAAAAGTGAATGAAGGAATAAGAAAAAGAATTGTAAACTGAGGATGCAGGAAAGCGCTAGCTTTGCTTCAAATTTTGACTTAAAAATAATGTTACCAGATACATATATTTACTCAAGATTGAATGAAATAGCCATCTTCTGTGTTAGATTTGAGGGTGCAAATACAAAAGCTTCAAACTAATTTTTTTTTTTTTTTACTCTTAACAAATAATATATACCTTCAAATGAGTCAGACTTAAAACATAAAAGTAAAAGAAAATTGAAGGTCAACCTAATTCACATCTGCTTACATCTCTGTAGTGGGATATTCACTTTGTCTCCTTCTGTGGCACTGACCACGCCCATTGGGGGGTGGAGCCATGGGCGGAAGTGACCTGTGGAAGGAGGTCGGAGGGGGCCAGAAAAGGCTCTCTCTTTCTGGCGTGACTCGGACAGGAGAGGATCGGGTTGAATTTCCTGGTGTTCATCTGTCTAGGTTGTAAGTTATTTCTCCCTGAATAAACATCTATTCGGCCTATTTGTTTATCCTGATCCTTATTTACCGCAATACATCTCCTCTCAAAAATCCATGCCTTCATGTCTTCACCTTGGCATTAGACCTGATGTGATATATGCCTCAAGCTCTCATAGTACTTATCCCTGTGCATTGTAACTTGTAATCACAAGTGCCAGAATCTGAAAAAGTGTTTGCTTTAAAGTGTTTAAGTGCTGGTGTTACAGCCTGTCTCCCATGCACAGTCATATGTCTTGGAATGCTGGGAAGAAAATAGGAAGCATCAATTGCCTTCATGTTATCCCAAATAAGTGGTGCCACCTCTACTTTTAGGGATGCTAGACCTGTCTCTCTGTGCTGTCCTAGCCTCACAGATAGACTCTCAGGTCAGTGAGCATGACTGAAGGCATTCTGATGGAAATGATTAGAGTACTCAAGTGTCAAACACTTTAACAATCTATGGTAAGACATTGGCAAAGGATGTGGTAAAGGTCTTCTAATGGAATGGTTTCAGTCTCCAAGCATCATAGTTTTTACATGATATATAACAGTAGAGAGCCACTCAATGAAAGCAGTACAGTTGATCTGGGAAGATGTTAATTAACACTAACCCCAAACCTGAAGGGACAGAAATTAGGTAGTACTGCCTCCCTTGAGACAATAGAAAAATTGCTTCAGATATAGATTTGAATACAGATAAAGAGACAAAACTGCCAAGAAACAGTCTGAAGAGTTCATCAGTCAAGACTTTAGAATTCCTATTCTAATGAAGAGGTTTGCGGAGGAGGGATGGAATGAGTCACTAAGTCATGGGAAGGAAACCCATTTGTGAAAACGAGCAGTGAGTGACGGACAGTGGGCAAAGATTCATCCTTGAGATGGTGAACATTGAAGTGATTCACACCTCATAAAAACAGCTATGAGTCCACAATGTGCATTACACAGCAAAACAAACTTAATGTGCAGGGCTACACAGAAGCATGAAAGAAAAGCTGTAGCAACAAGGGCTAAGAGAGACCAGAACCCCATGAAATGGGCTACAGTGACTTCACAAGTGCTTCCTGGGAAAAGTATCAAGGGAACTCACAGAATCTCTTCTATTTGGGATTTTCTCAGGGTTTGTGTGTGGCTGAATCTTGAACAAAACTGTCTATTAGAGCTGAGCAGGACAAAAGCTAGTGAGAGTATCTAGCCCAACAGCAGCCAGAGCCACATGTCCTCTTTCTTGAATTCTCAATGGTACATTCTCAGAGAAGTTTGCTTATATTTCATTTTCCAGGTTTAACAGAAGAAGAAACCCGAAACTGTGTCCGGTATGAAACAAAGAAACGTTTTCTCTTTTTTACAATACAAAAAAGCACAGAAGACCGGTGTACCACAAATAAGCTGTCTGAAAAATATGAAGGTAACCGCACTCTCTTGGCAGTTTGTCCAGTGTGTCCTGAGGCTGCCCACTATTTAACCATAATGCACATGACTGCTGTGTCTTCACTGATATTATATGATTGGCTCAAAATGCCACATGCTATGAGGGAAGGTATAAATAAAATATCCTTAGCACTTAAAAAAATAGAAATGGAAGCTGGTTGATGGTGGGACATGCCTATAATCTCAGCACTCTGGAGGCAGAAACCGGTGGATCTCTGTGAGTTCCAGGCCAACCTGGTCTGCACAGTGAGTTCCAGGAAAACCAGGCCTACACATAGAGAAACCCTATCTTGAAAAAGAAAAAGGGGAAATAGTTAAGATGTTCTTTTCCTTGTTCTTAGGCTGTTCGATTCAAAGAACAATGTATTGACAGAACTCTTTATCAAGTATTAAAAACTAAATGGGAATATAAACCAGACATCTCCACTAAGAAACTTAGAAGGCAAGGATATATAGATAACCAATCATTAAAAACATAGACTTGCAATCAGAACACTGGAATTCGTGCCAGTTGTCAAGCCAAAGGCACATATGCAGACACAAGAATTGAATCTTTAAGTTTTGCTTTATTCAAATCTAAGATCTGAGAAGCCAAAAGATTAGCATGTTTTTGGAAACTGTCTTAGGTTTCTGACCTGAAAGTTGGTAAGGATGAGGGAAATGGATATGGCAAATACAAAAGCCATCAATCATGCCAGAATTCAGTCCCACCTTTTTGGTCATATGCACATCCACATTTCTGAGACTTGTAGTGGATGTCTGTTGTTATCATTCTTTGCACTATTCCCTTATTCTCTGACTGACTGGACTCAGGTACTTCTTGGAACACAAAAATTTAATTAGTGTTTGTCTGATTCAGGCATGGATTCCAGCAGGGGTATCTGGGCTGAAAGGTAAGATGGGGAGCTTAACTCAGAACACACCAATCATTAACAATGTGATATTAAAAACAAATGTGTGCTGATTTCTTTTTATAATACTCCATCTTACAGAAGCATCTTTATAACACAGAATATGAAAGTGCCCCTTGTGGTCTTGTCCCTCACTAATTCCCATTGTTACATATTTATAAGATCCATGATGTATAAAGAATGGCATTCTGACACTATATAAAGTGGCTGATTGTTCCCATAGCTTCTTAATAGTGAGACAATTCTCCCGCAAAATTGTGCTCATGGGAGCATGTACGCACACACACACACTTATAACTTAGTGTGAACAGTTTTTAACTGTCTGAACCAAATATCACAAACAGAATACAAATAGGAGTGAAGATTATAAGGCATTCAGTTAGTGTCAGGTAACCACATGTAAAAACTGTTTTTATAAAAACCTCTTGGCCTTAGTTCTTTGTTGAAAGATGGACCCAAGACTTCATTCTTGGTTTTGGCTTTGAGAAATGGTCTCACTGTGAAGCTCAGGCTGACTTCTAATTCATCATCCTCCTGTTTCACCTTCCAAAATGGAAGAATTAGACTACCACGCAAGTATATACTCATTTTAATTCTGGCAATTTCAACTCTTATCTCTGAATATTATTTTCTGAAGTCATTATTGATTTATTGTCAATGATCTGACCTCGATTGTCTCTCATTGCCAAGGTAAGATATGACCTGATTTATTTGACCTGATTCCATGTTGGGATATCTAAATTATATTCATGACATAATGAAACAAATTCAGTCACCTGTTCATACAGTTAAACTATAAAGTTTTGTTTTGCTTTAATTGTTTTTAGAATTTCATACATGAGTGTTTTATTTATGATATTTCTACTCTTTCTTATACCCTCTCTAATTTCTCTCATGTCCCTTTTCCACACTCCCTTAAATGTATGATCTCTCTTCTTCTATAATTATTTCACATTTACACACATAATGTGTGTGTGTGTGTGTGTGTGTGTGTGTGTGTGTGTGTGTGTGATTGTATACATAAAACCTACTGAGTCCATATAGTATTGCTCATATGGACATGTCTTTAGTGGTAACTACTTGGGATCATATAACATAGGAGGACACTCATCCTAAAGAAAACATTCTCCCCTCTCAGCAGCCACTTATTGCCACTAGCTCTTCATCTAGGGGTGGAGCCTTGTGAAATCCCCCATCCACCTGGCATGTTGATATATGTTGTCATTATGAGGTCTTGTGCCAGCCACCATACTGAGATTTTATGGGTTCAACTTCTCTGACATGTCTAGGAGATATTCCAGACAACATTCTGGTTCTCTGGATTTTCCAACCTTTTTGGCCCTTCCCTCCCAGTGTTCCCTTTGCCCTAGTATAGGATTACATTAGATGTACTAGCTGGACCCAGGACCACTTAGTCTCTTCATTTTGTCCAATTGTAGACCACATAATAGCCTCGATCTGTTGCAAAAGGAAGCTTATTTGGTGTGGGATGAGGGCCAAGTTTCTCTGCAGATATAGGGATAACTGTTTAGAGGGGGCTTGGATGGATATAAACAGTAGAGTTTTGTTGTTGTTGCTGTAGGACTTAGGCAGGCTTTATGGTTACCAGATTTTTAAAGGCTCTTACATGTTAGTTCCTTTGTCTACAAAAGTCTGAGAGTAATATAGAATCCTACATTCAAATAAGAGTTGTTCAAGATAACAGAAACTCCAGTGACCTTCAACGGTGAGCCATATCATATGAGGAAAAAGTCAGAGGGGCAGGAAATACAGAGAAATCCAAAATTCTTTTTATATCAACTCTAATTGGGGTTTGAGATACAAAGGGCATGTGTTCTCTGTAGAACTTGGGGAGAAAGCAAATGGCTGCTTTCATTTTTCCAGAAAGGCATAAGAACAGTTAGACCAATTTTTCAGAACATTCTCCCAAGAGGCAGTCACAAGGAATGAAGCCTGTGCCTCCATATCAACAGTCATAGCTCTGAAATAAATCAAACTGAACTGGCTGAACAGAAATGGACCCTTAAGAGGCCATAAAGGCCTTAACCCAAAAGAAGAGAACAAAATGGGTCTGAAAGCATTTTAAACCAGAGGCAAGTGTCATGGCCCCAGTTGGACTTGAGGTGAAGACCTTGCTTCTTTCTCTGCAGAGCTAAACTTTTCCAATCATCTAAACAACTCAGCTCTTTCATATGCCTTGGCACTATAAATAACTTGTACTTTATATTAAATTCTTCTTGTCCTTGATTGATTGCTGTTCATTCTGCTCCAAACACATAGAGGTACAGTCACAGAAACTCTCAAATCTGAAATTTGCAGTCTCATTAGGAATACAGATGAGAAACAAATACAGGTGTTTTATTGTGATAATTAACAGACAACTTTAAATGTAGTGTTTGAACATATTGATAGTGTCAAGCATGAACAAAATTGAGAATAATAAACTCGGCAACTACATTTATACCACAGTCCACCCCCCCCCAAAAAAAAATAACTGAAAGAGAAAACACAGTGGAAAATAGACAAGGAAATCAATAATATAAATTTAATAACTGGATACTATAATGGGTAGTTTTATGTCAACTTAACACAAGCTAGTGTTGTTTAAAATAGAGAACTAAAATTGAGAAAATTTTTCCACCAGATTGGCCTGTGGGTAAGCCTGGGAATTAGTGTCCTCAATTGGCTCTACTGAACAACTTCCCAGCCATGCTCAGAAATTGATTCTATTGAACTTAGTGTGCCACACATGAAAAGAAGACATGAAGTAGGAGGCCAAAGCATTGAGAAGAAGGGAGCCAGTAGTCCAGACAAGGGTATGAAGGAGAGCAATGGAAGGTGAAATGACTAAAACTTACTACATAAATGTATAGAGCACTCAACCATTTTTTTTCAAGTGAAGAAAAAGTAGGAAAATCCACACATTCACAGATAGAGTTTTCTGTTTCCTAAACAGAACTCAACTTATCTCTCAAATTCCCATTCCTTCCAAATAGTACAAAAAATATATAACTACCAGTGTAACATCAATTTGTCATTCTGGATTTTAACTTTTTAATTTTTAATCAGATATAGGACTGTAAGTCTTCTCCTTTGCTGGCTCCCAGGGCTAATCTCAGTATGGACTTGTCTGTGAACATGCACACTTGTTGAGGGAGTGTCAGGTGCACTTGGCATCAGAGGATCTTTGTATCATGTTGCCTTTCCACATCCTAACTTCCTTTAATTGCCATCTTCCTGCTCTGCTCTCTGTTGCTATGCACAGATACCCAGTCTAGTGTTGATGATCTTTCCTAGTCCTGTGATTACTGAGCCCAGAGGCTCAGAATAGACCTCATCCTAAGGAGCATGAGGACAGGCTGTGTCCATGCAGCTTCTCCAGACCTCCTCATCTTCCCCTAGGTCTAGGGAAGTCCTGACTATTTTATGCATTTATCAGAGAAGTATTGATGTTTTTTAATCAGCACTAACTTGTGGGACATGTTAGATAAACCTATCAATTCACATACTAGTACTAGAGACAAATTAGATACAATTTTGTTTTTATCAGATTTCTCTTATAACAGCAAGCCCTCCTAAACTCAACTTAAAGTAATAGAACCCTCATTGTCCACTGTGCTATTCATCAAATCTAAATCCCCATTCATCCTACTGCTCAAAATCTTTTTCTCCTTTTGAAAAGGAAAATGGCCCAAGTCATTTTGTATTTTTATCATTCTATACTTAATATTTTAATTTCCTCTTCTGAGTCATAGGAGGTTTGGCTGTTGGTATTTAAATTCAGACATTAAGGACTGGACAATTACTTTTTTCTCTCAGGAGATTGGTCCTACACAGTAAAATTTATGACTTTCCAATCTATGATCTGGATCAGATTTTCAAAAGTGGACTTGAGAGTTCAAAAAACAAAGCTTGCCTCTTTTTCCTTTCTTCTCTGACCCAGGGTTGTTCATATGCAAAGCCTATGATGCAACTTTAATGGGGACAGGAATGGGAAAAATGAAATTTAGGAACACAAGCAAAATGATTAATATCAAGAATTTAACCCGACAAATAAGTATAGCACTCAAAGGGGAAGACAGTGGATCCAATGAGACTATGAATTTAAATGTTTACTATGCTAACAATGTGATCTTTACTTTGAGGCCATCATCTTGAAATTTTAAGTTTTGAAAGGTGGTCTAGGATGCCTTTCCCAACTCTCACCTCCATCATTGTAATTAGGGTCAGGCACCTTCCTATTGGTTCACACAGAAAACTATTCATGATATCACAGCATTCATCAACTGCATTGTTCTTATTTTCTTTACCAACTTTTAAGAAAACCTATGATGCTGTCATAGTCTCTGTGTTCTCTATGTTCTCTATATGCTAAATGCTTAATAGAGTATTTCAGCAAACACATGAAGGGCAGAAAGAAAGAGAATTGAGGGAGTAAAAGGAGGAGAGAAGAGAGTATGGGGGAGGGGGAACCAGCATTGTTCACATCCTTACTATATCTCAGGCACTATTTTGTTGTAAATGTGAACTGATCTTTTCTAATGTTTAATTCTCATGGCAGCCCTGTGAGACAGGTATTACAATAGCCAATTTGTAGATCAGGAAATGGAAGCACAGAGAGACAGAAAATGAATATAAACAAACTAACAAATAGTATGTCAATTTGACATAAACATAAGTTTGTAAAATAAAGCTAACTTTTGAAAACAGCTTTGCTTGGAATTAAATAGTATTTATACGCCCAGCTAAAATATTTGGATTCAATCCTACTAAAGACTTGCACTACCACACTTGCAATAGGATGATGTTTATAGATGACAGGGGTAAGCTTGTTCTGTCTTTAGACTTGAAAACTGTGACAAGGTTATTTTTTTCTGAGTTCTTAAAACTATAGACTGACATTTCCAGTAAACTGACATGGCATTCAGTGCTTTTGTTTTTTTCTTTTGGCTTGTTCTTGTTTTTGTCTTCTGCCTGTAATTGAAAGTTTCTACCATGGTACTCAGCAAGTGCATGGTTTGTGCCATTCCACAGACCCCAAACTTAAAGGAATATAAATCCACAGATGGGAAGTTGGCTTCAAGTAGTGGACCAAAGCAGTCAGAACTAGAGTTCATTTCCATTCCCCTGCTGCCTGTTGCTAGCTACAAGTTTCAAAACACATTGCTTTTGGCTTCAGTATCTGCAATGACACTATTGTCTACTTAAGGTTGTTGAGAGAATAATGGAAGATAATGTGATGGGCCTGGTGTGTGCCCCCTGTTGACTAAGTAGCACCATCAACAGTTAATCTAACCTCTATCATTAACCTCCTGTAGGGATAGGGGGTGTTCTTTCCCTCTTTCTCTGTTGTTACTTTCTGGTACAATCTGACCAGTGTTGTCTCCATTGCTCTCTGAGAAAATTAACTTGCCTTTAAGCATGAATTTTCAATAAATTAAATGGATCATTTTCTTGCATCTCTTGCAGGTTCCTTGTTGCAGGGTTCAGAGAAAGCCATATCCCTGGTCCAGGGAGGGAGGAGTCAGCAAGCAGCAGCCTTGGCATGGGAGAAGGGGACCTCAGGCCCAGAGGAGAAAGTCTTTTCTGAGTGGGTAGAATCAGTGAAGGAAAGCCCTGGTGTGATTGATTTTGAGGTGAGACTCGAGTATTGAGGGTAGGAGGGGTTATAGCATTTCACCACCAGTCAAAACTGTACACCACACAATTCTCCTTTCATTTCCTTTTCAGATGATAAATAAAATGTCTGGTTTTAATATACAGGCAGGATATGCCTCTCTAAAACATGTTAAAATGCACATCTGTTACTTTTAAATTTTAAATGAGCATTCTAGTACCATATTTAGGACTGTTGGCATGTGTGAAATACTGAGGAAGAAAATTTATGATTACTCACTCTTCGTCTCCCTATAAAACAGTAACATTCAATTTTGTGATTTTTGTGCAATTCCACTTTGTAAGCACATTAAGAAAATTTTAGATCCATTTGTTTTTCCAGTTTTGTATTTGTTGTGATTAGACAAAAAAAAAAAGTGAGTTTTATTGGCCATGGCATACTTTGTATAATATTATGTCATGTGGAGACAGATTTGCCTATGGCATACCAACATTTTAAAGGCTACCCAAAACTATTATGTTTATTGATTTAAATATAGATAGAAAATTTGAATCATTATAAACATGGAATCATTTACATGAAGCAGAAAAACATGAGAGTTCCATAAATTTTGTTAGGATCAAAGCCAGGACTACACTAGATGGTTTCTTTTAGCTTTAAAAAAAAAAAATGTAACAGAGAAAGCACTGTTGTTGCTGCTGCCTGTATTATCTGTTACTACATTCCTACAATTCACATGAATGGAAAGTTCACTTCTCTTGTTTCCCCCCATTGTGCACTTTCTCCACTGGCTCCAACAAAAGCCAATGTACATCCTTAGACAGAAAGCAATGACCTCCCTTGGTCCTCCAGATGTGCCTACCTGAATCAAAGTTAATAAGGTTACAACACAACACTAATGAGCACTAGTGATTCTCGGTGACCTATCTCTGCACTTTAGCTGCTTATGTTTGATGCTTAATAAATAACAGGACACAAGTCCAAATAAGCAACATGTAGTTTCCATCCTTGTGATGCAGGGATAGTTAATTCTACACAGTTTGCAGCTGCCCTTGGGCACTGGGCTTTCCCCTCCTGGCTCAATAGCCAGATAGCTATATGAGATTCATTAAAAATTCCTTGGATGTTTTCTTGGTAAGCACTAATTCAAAGAGAACTAGATAGTGGTGGCAACAAAATAATACCCTGTGGAAGTGACTAGAGCCTCTCTGTTGCCTGCTCTTAGCTTGCTCCGATCACCGACTTGGTCAGAAACATCCCATGTGCAGTGACAAAACGGAACAATCTCAGGAAAGCATTTCAAGAATATGCAGCCAAGTTTGACCCCTGCCAGTGTGCTCCATGTCCTAACAATGGCCGTCCCAGGCTCTCAGGCACGGAATGCTTGTGTGTGTGCCAGAGTGGCACCTACGGTGAGAACTGTGAGAGGCGGTCTCCAGATTACAAGTCTGGTAAGTGTCAGGGATTGGTTGTGTGAGCAGTTCCTTTCCCACTCAGAAATATATTACGTATGAGTTGATGAATTTCAGCAAAATAAAGTTCACTAGCACCCTCCACCTTATAAAAGAACCTCCAAAAATGTGATTCCAAAGACAAATAGTACTTGGCTGTGCTATAACCTATGAACTGCATTAAAAATAATTTTAACCTCTCCAAATTAAAATATCCTTGTCCATAAGACGAGGATAATTCTATTATTAAAGGTTGAAATGTGTGTGTGTGTGTGTGTGTGTGCATGTGTTTGTGTGTGTGTAAACATTTTAAAGACACATAAAAATCCATATTATACTTCCTTTAATATTAGACATCATAAAAATTAGTATGTGATATTGTGTCTTAGTTACTATTTTGCATTATACTTCCTTTAATATTAGACATCATAAAAATTAGTATGTGATATTGTGTCTTAGTTACTATTTTGCTGTTGTGACAAAACACCATGAACAAGCCAGCTGACAGAAGCAAGGGTTTTTATTTGGGGCTTATAGCTCCAGAGGGTTAGAGTGCTATGGAGCAGGGGCAGTATTAGGTGGCAATGTCTAGAGCAGCAGCTGATACCTTACTTCTAGAACTCCAAACAGGAAGCTGAGACAAAACAACAGAAAAAGCACATAGCTTTTGAACCCTCAAAGTCCAACCCCAGCAACACACTTCCTCCAGCAAGGATACACCTCCTAAGCCTCCCCCAAACAGGGATAGCAACTAAAGATCAAATATTCAAATGTCAGAAACTATGGGGCACATTTATCATTCAAACCACCACATACTGTTACTGGAGATTTATATGATTATATGTATTATAATGTATAAACAAGATGTTCATAAAGGGTTAAATTAAGCCACAAGAAAAGTTTTCATACATGGCTAAGTATATTAACTCACATTTTCTTTAGAGGAGGGGAGAGGTCTAGTAGAACGAGGATATGTTCCAATACCTATAAAAATGTAATTTGATATATTCTCTCTTATTCAATATCCTATTGCTGTGAAGATACATGGTGCTACCATTGCAACTATGTAATTGGGGCTTGCTTATAGTTTCTGATGTTTAGTCCATTAACAACATGTCAGGGAGTATGGCAGCATGCAGGCAAACACCTTAGCTGTGAGTTCTACATCTGAATCTGAAGACAACAGGAAAAAACATTGGGTCTGGCTTGGGCTTTTGAAACCTCAAAGCCCATCCCTTAGTGGCACGCTCCCTCCAATAAGGCCATACTGACTACAACAAGTCCATATCCCTGTCCCTCTTAGGCAGTGCCATCCTTTGATGACCAAACATTCAAATATATGATCCTATGGAGGCCATTCTTATTCAAACCCTTATAATTTTATTCAGAAATTTTAGTATTTATACATATATGTGTATATATGCACATACATATGTTTTGCATGCATGTACATATAATATGTGACTGATATGTTTGTTGATTCAAGTGATTCATAGCTGTTACTATTTTATTCATGATTTTGAGAACAGGAAAAGTTATCAAAGAATGTATAGGACCCCTTCCATAAGTAACTTCTTGAAGCCCTCACTGGAAAGCTGTTTACCTTCCACAAAGCATATATACCTTCCACAAAGAAAGCCAGGTGGTGCTAGTTTCAAAGCCCAAACTTTTTTGCAGCAGTAGGGCAATGGGTCTCCCTCTATTCCAGATTCAGTGGATGGAAACTGGAGCTGCTGGTCTTCCTGGAGCACGTGCAATGCTGCTTATAGGAGATCAAGGACTCGGGAGTGTAACAACCCTGCTCCCCAGCAAGGAGGGCGACGCTGTGAGGGCCAGCAGAGGCAAGAGGAAGACTGTACATTCTCAATAATGGAAAATGTGTAAGGTCGGGTGACAGGGAACCAAGGATCACTGGTTAGCATTTGCCATTGTTAATTAAAAGAAAAAAAAACACTTAGAATTTTAATGTACCTACACAATGTACTATGAGGTACCAAAACGGCTGCTACACTTAGCTCACTAAGCATTGGGTTCTCTCTATCAGTATCTGCATATTATAAAGATGCAGAGTGGGCATATTACTTTAATAGATGCATATCTGTGTGTGTTCACACCCACATATTAATTTTTCCCTTTTAGTGGACAACCATGTATCAGTGACAATGAAGAAATGAAAGAGGTAGACATTGGTGAGAAAGAAGCAGATTTGGGGTGTCCTCAGCCTGCTCTCCCAGAAAATGGATTTATCTGGGTACGTATCCTGACCGTAACTTTTGGCTTAAAGTTAAAAAAAGAAAATTTGAAATGTATGTTTTCTTTTCATTGGAATTATTTTCCTACTTTAATAATATGTTGTCTCAAAGGCACAAAGGAATATCCAGGAATGCTGGAACACCCTTTTATCAGGAATTCCCTTGGGATACCCTCATGCCTGTTTGTTAGTCAAGGAAGAGCCAGGTGATATTTTCCTTTGTACCACTCAGCTCACAGAAGGCAGCAGACTTTGTGAGTAGGAAATGGAGCTTCAGTGCAGGATAGGTTTGGATGGACTTAACAGTCTGCAACTGAGACCTGGTTGTTTACTTCTGAGTCTGATAAAAACTAATGTCTATTGTCTAAGGCAGATTCTCCAAGAGATAAAAGAGATTTGGATATAACCATTGGAGGTGTTCAGCCTGTATGTCTTTTTAGGTTAGAAAGCTATAGATCCCTTGAGCAGTCAATACAAATCTAATTGTGTGTGTGTGTGTGTGTGTGTGTGTGTGTGTGTGTGTGTGTGTAATTTTGAAAATCATCACAAAAAGCAAGATCTCATCCATTTTGCATTTTAAACTAAATAAAAACCTTCACATTAATCTTTTTCCATTTATTATCAAAAGTCAATAACACAAATCTTTAAACCCACTCTCACAGATATCCATGGTGAATAGCAAAACTTGTATATCCTAATGTATTATGCCTAATGGTCTTAAGAGGAGGTATTTTTGGGTTTTTGTTTGTTTGTTTCTCTCTTTTTTTTTTTTTTTTGAGTTTTTAAAAAGTATTTATTTCTCATTTTACATATCGATCCCAGTTCCCACTCCCTCCCTCCTGCTCTCCCACCCTCTCATGCCCCCCCCGAACACCCTCCCTTCCCACCCCACCCCACCCCACTCCACAGGAAGTGTTATGCCTTCCAGGAGGGATCAACAAAATCTGTCAAGTCATTTGAAATAGGGACTAGGACTGCTCTCCTGTCTCTAATTTAAGGGAGTGTCCCTCCATGGGGGATGTGCCCCCAAAGTCCTTTTGACCAGGAATACATCCTGGTTCCACTATCAGAGGTCCCTTAGACTGCTCAGGGCTTCTAGCTGAGACCCATGTTCAAGGGGGGTCTGAGTCAGTCCCATGCTGGATTCCCAGCTATCATCTGGGGATCCATTAGCTCCTCCTTGTTCAGGTCAGCTGTCTCTATGTGTTTCTGCAGCCTGGTCTTGTCTTCCCTTTCTGCATCTGGATTCCAGTTCAGCTCAGTGTTTAGTTGTGGGTGTTTGCTTCTGTTTTTATCAGCTACTAGATGACAGCTCCATGATGGTGGATAAATTAGCCATTGAAATCATTATCAGGGAAGGGAATTTATGGTAGCTTTTCCACGGTTGCTCAAATTGTTAGTTGGAATCAGTCTTGTATGTCTCTGGACATTTCTCTAGGTTCAGTTTTCTTTTCAAACCTATAATGGCTCCCTCTTAATATCTCTCTCTCTCTCTCTCTCTCTCTCTCTCTCTCTCTGTCTTTCTCTCTCTCTCTCAATCTTCCTAGTCCCACATGTTTTCCTCTCCTCTCCTTCTCTTTCTCCTAGTTCCCTCTCCACTCACTGCCCCACCACTCCCCATGTGCTCTGGAGATCTTGTCCCTTTCCCCTTCTGTGAGGGACCTTATATGAATCTCTTAGAATCCTCTTGTATCCTAGTTTCTCTGGCAGTGTGAATTATAGGCTGGTGATCCTTTTCTTTAGGTCTAAAATCCAAATATGAGTGAGTACATACCATATTCCTCTTTTTGTGACTGGGTTACCTCATTCAAAATGGGTTCTTCAAGTTCCATCCACTTGCCTGTGAATTTCAAGATTCCATTATTATTTTTCCACACAGTAGTATTCCATTGTGTAGATGTACCACATCTTCTTTATCCATTCTTCAGTTGAGAGGCATCTAGGCTGCTTTCAGGTTCTCGCTATTACAAATGATGCTGCTATGAATATAGTCCAGCACATGTGTTTGTTGCATGGATGTGGATCATTTGGGTATATGCCTAAGAGGGGGATTGCCGGGTCCTGTGGTAAACTGATTCCCATTTTCCTGAGGAACCGCCATACTGATCTCCAAAATGGCTGTACAAGTTTGCACTCCCACTAGCAGTGGAGGAGTGTTCTCCTTTTTCCATATCCTCTCCTGCATAAGTTGTCATTGGTGTTTCAAATTTATCCATTCTGAAAGGAGTAAGATGGTATCTCAACGTTGTTTTGATTTGCATTTCCCTGATAGCTAATGATGTTGAGCACTTTCTTAAGTGTCTTTCAGCCATTTTGGATTCCTCTATTGAGAATTCTCTATTCAGTTCTGTACCCCATTTTTAATAGAGTTATTTGGTGGTTTGGTGACTAATTTCTTGAGTTCTTTGTATATTTTGGAGATCAGCCCTCTGTCGGATGTAGGAATGGTGAAGATCTTTTCCCAGTCTGTAGGCTGCCATTTGATCTTGTCAACTGTGTCCTTTGCCTCACAGAAGCTTCTCAGTATCTGTGCTACTGGTGTTATGTTCAGGAAGAGGTCTCCTGTACCAATTTGTTCAAGGGTACCTCCCAGTTTCTCTTCTAAGAGGTTCAGTGTGGCTGTATTTATGTTGATGTCTTTGATCCATTTGGACTTGTGTTTTGTGTATGGCGATAGACATGGGTCTATCTTCAGTCTTCTATACACCATCATTCAATTTTGCCAGCACCATTTGTTGAAGATGCTTTCCAAGGAAATATTTTTGAAGGAGGTAATTTTAACCAGTCTTCTTCCAGAGCAGAGGTCTTGGCCTCACCAATGCAATGGAGGGCATATTAAAACACAGACCAGCCACTTCTATGCCTGCAGTTTCTGATTCACTAGTTCTCAAGGGAGGCCCTGTCTCAGTTAGAGTTTCAATTGCTCTGAAAAGACACCATGGCCATGGCTGGAAGCATGGTGGCATGTAGGAGGACATGGTCCTGGAGAAAGAGCCCAGGGTTCTACATCCTGATTAGTGGGTAGCAGGAAGTTAACTATGAGCCACTGTGCCTAGTTCAACCTAGTGACACACTTCCTCCAACACAACCACACCAATTTCAGCAAGGCCACACTTCCTAATAGTGCCACTCCCTCTGAGCCTGTGGGGGCCATTTTCTTTCAAACCACCACAGGCCCCCAAAAGCCAATATCCACAAGCTCCCATTGAGTGCTAATGTTTCTGGGTTGAGAGTCACAGAGTGGAGACCAATCCTTTAGGACAGGTGTGAGGCTCAAGGTTATTACTTTAAAATATTAGATTTTACAACACAGCCACATTCATTTATTCACATTTTACCTTTGATTGCTTCCAGACAGTACTAAAAAACAAGAATAACTGTGACAGATGCCTTATGACCAACAACTGACTAACACAGGTCCTTTATAGAAAAACATTTTCTGGTTCCTGGTTTAGAACAGAGATGTCAAAATTATATATTGTCAGATCTATCTGCCTAAATAATGTTTAACATATTTATGCCAGCTGCATGCATGAACTATTAAAAATTTCTTGTTATTTAATTTTAAAAACCCCACAGAGGCTTTAAAGAGGAATTCATTATACTTATGGATTCTTTTATAAAATTAGATTATGTCTCTTACTCTATTCCCTGCTGCTGTAACCAAGTCCCACAAAGAAGAGCAATATATGTATTATAAAAAGGTAATTAAAACTGGTATGGTGAAGCTCATCTTTAATCCCACCACTCAGGAGGCACAGGCAAGTCAATCTATATGAGTTCAAAGCCAGCCTGGTGTACGTAGTGAAATACAGAACAGCCAGGGGTATGGAGTGAGATCCTGTCTCAAAACCCATAACCAGCAAACAACCAAAACAGTTGTTTAGCAGACAGTTGTGAAGTTTGAGCAGTTAAGCTCAATGATTACTATATAGAAGTTATTGCTTTATTAGGGAAATGGAGACAGAAGTTCAAAGCAATAACTTTTTTCAGGAGAAAAGCATGAATAAAATGTTTGCATCCATTAGCTGGTGAGATTGCTCAGTAGGTAAAAGTGCTTACTTTTCAAGCCTGGCCAAGTGCAGTCCCTGAAACGCACAGTAGAAAAATGGAACCAACTCCTAAATGTGGTTCATTGACTTCTACATAACAACTGTGGCATGCAAACACATATCATATGAGCACACACACACACCACTAATAAGTAAAATAATTTTTAAAGTGTGCAGTCAATAAAAAATCCAAATCATCAACATTTTTAACAGTTCACTTCCTTGAAAACAAAGATATATCAGTAAGGACCAACATAATAGTTTTTTGTTTGTTTGTTTATTTTGTTTAGACTGTTCTAGGATGTAGTGTGAACAAGTCATGAAAAAAGAATAATGCTGATCTTTTACCTTCTGTCATTTTCTCAAGTTTAGTGTTCTCCCTCCTGGTAAAGGAATAGAGTGCTCCTTTATCAACATCCCTAGAGAAGATGATGCTCTGCATAGTTTCAAAGACTACTAAGATTTCTGTAAGGGTGTGTGTGTGTGTGTGTGTGTGTGTGTATTGTGTGCATGCATGTGTGTGATTGTGTGTTCATGCCTCTATGCATGTGAGTGTGTGTGAGGTGTGCCTATGTGTGTGAGATGGGAAAGTTGTGAAGTTGCCACTTGTTTCAGTGTCAGAGCAGATAAATGTGATAGAAGCTAGAGAAAGCTTTGTTCAAGATGCTGCAGAGCTGAAATTTCAGTGCACCAGTGGAAGCTGAAGTTTGCATAGAAGGTGTTTTGCATGAGCTGGGTCTTTAGAGAAAGGCAGACAGAAGGTGGGTAGTACAGATGGAACAGCCAATGGAAGATGACATGAAGGCATGAACAGCAGAAGAGACAGGGAGGATCAAAGTAGGGTTGGTAGTTTTGTTTCTTTAGAACATGGGTTTTGTGAAAGGAAATGCCAGGAAGTGAGGACAGTTGCATGGGTTAGTTTAAATTAACAATTTAAATTAAGAAGTGCAAGACTTGTTTTTATCTTGAAATTTTTATTGAGCCTGCGTAAGGCAATGCTCTATCCATTGTCTGGGAAAGTATATAATGACTAATCAGTTGCTAGGAAATGAACAGATTTTAACTGGTTTCTAGTTCATTCATCTCAATAACAATGGCACATGTTTATAAGTGTAGGATCATCATGCAATGTATAACCATAACACAGAAAGCAGAACCCTTTCCTATTCTGGTAACACTAGGAATTTTTGTTCCTTTTCTCATTGCTGTGCCTCACTCGTGTTCAGGAAAACACATATATGGACAAAAATGAAAATGATTAAATCCTTGAAAGATTACTTTATAGAAGTAAGTCAGTGAGGAGGAAGGGCATATGATTGTTCAGGGTTCACATGGGAAAGTTGTGACTGAATAGGCAACAGCAAGCAAGGCTCATGTCCATGGTGAAAAGATCTTGAAGAGGCTTGCTCATCTTTCCAGGGACTAAGAAGCACACAGAGCCCAGGTATGTGAACTGACTATAATCTATGGGCCTGAACCCCAGGAACACACTTCTTTCCACTAGACTTCACTTCTTTAAGGTTTCAGAATATCCCATAACAGCACCATGATCTGGGGACGAAGAGTTCAAACATAAGAGACTACAAGGAATATTTCAGATTCAAACCATAGCAGACGGCATCACATACGCAGTTTTATTTGGTTGACTGTGTGTGTGTGTGTGTGTGTGTGTGTTGTATGTCTGTGTGCATATTTGTGCATATGTGTATATGAACATTTATAGAGGTGAGAGTTCAACTTTAAATGCCCTCCTCTATTGTTTTCCACTTCATTATTTTTGAGATAACATATCTCACTCAACCAGGATCTCATCAGTTGGCTAGACTTGGTGGCCAGCAAGCTCCAGAGACCCTGCTATCTCTGCCCACCACCAATGCAAGAGGTACAGATATGGGTTCCCATATCTGGATTTTACACTGGTGGTGAAATTCCAAACTAAGGTTCATGTGTTTACACAGCAAGCACTTAAGTACTTTAAGTCCCATGGAGCAAGATTTTTCATCTGTTTTTGGTTTTGTCCATGCTTTAGGAGTCTGAGGAGACTTGCTAACATCTCCACAGACCCAGCAAGTACACAAAGCTTGGGCAGAAAGTGAAACCCAGCTATAGTCTATAAGGCCTGCACACCAGCCCCATGTGGAACCCTGGCTGGACTTACATTCATAGAGGTCTACTACCTCTGCCTGTCAAGTGCTAGGATTAAAGGCAAGTACCATCATGTCCAAAAGGAACAGGATTTTTAAGTACAAAAAATATAATTTGTTTAGAGCAGAAAAATTAACTCAGAGAATGTACAGCTGAAAGATTATCTATGAACAAAGAGATTGAGGAGGAGGAATGGAAAGAATGTTTGGCCTGTGCTTATAAGTAGACACTTAAGAAGATGACATGAGTGAGTAGCTACAAAGAATATGCAATGGGCAGTATCCAGAAAGACCCTAAGATATTCAGAAGTAATAATTGATTATACTCATGATTTCTGCTTTTGGTTTTAATTCTAGAATGAAAAGAAACTGTACTCCATTGGGGAGGAAGTTGAAATTTCATGTCTTACTGGATTTAAAGCTGTTGGGTACCAGTACTTCAGATGCTTGCCAGACAGAACCTGGAGGCAAGGAGATGTCGAATGCCAACGTGAGAGTGGGGCAAGCATGATTCCCCTGCAGAATGAAGGAGCCCAATACAAATAGAGCAAACTCAGTTCGGTTCACTTTAATATTTTTTAGTAACTGTGCTAAAAAGACTTAGTGAAGCAGTAAATGGGGCTCATTTGCTTAAAGTCATATTTCAAAATACCAGATTTCAGCTCTCCTGCCCTTGCATATTAGCTTTGTGCACACAGCACTACAAAGTATGCCTCTAAAAAAGAAATTCATGGAACCAGAAAACTTATCTAACCACAGGAATCTGTCCTGGGTGATATAAAAACTGAAACAAAAGAATAAATCCCAGAAAAATAATACTCAGATTTGGGATTTTGTATGAGTTGCCATTATCTCCAAACCACTATTCTTTGGGGGAAGAGGGGAACACAATCAGAAAAGGCTAAAGAAACATGTGTTTCCTGTGGCTACCCACGCTGTAGGAAGGTAAAAACCAAGATTCAAACAAGACTCAAAACGGGACCTCAAGCACTTTATGGAATGACTTACATAGAATTGAGATCACTGTCAATTATAATCTCCTGGCACCTATTATTCAACAGGGTTGTAACTAGTATTAAGGAAAACACAAAAAGAAGATAGGAGGATGGTTTGGAAGATAGGAACACTTGCTAGTCAAGAAGAGGATCTAGGTTTGATTGCAAGAACCCTAGGGCAGCTCATAACCATATGTGTATAGAGTTTCAGTAGATCTGGCTCCCTCTTCTGACTCCTTAGGAACACACATGCATGCAAACATATCTACATAAAATAAAAATAAATATATCTTTAAAAAAAGAAAAAAAACACAAAGGGTATAAAAGTAAAATTATTTATTGAATAAGAAATGTTCAAAAGCTGTAATTCCTTGGCAAATAGACCTTGGCTGTCAGAACAAAGGGTTTTTTAGTGGTGTTTCTGAGAAGTTGGGGATCCAAATTTCACTGATTAAAGGGAGGTGCCACAGCTGAACAAACACAGTAAAGCTCGCTAACGTTACCTCTTTGGTCACATATCATCTGTCTATACTTGTTGACTCTTCTGTTCCACTGAATACATCTGATATATTGCTCTTCCTGCAGGGACCGAGTGCCTCAAGCCAGTTGTTCAGAATGTCCTGACAATCTCCCCATTTCAGAGAGTGTATAAGATTGGTGAATCCATTGAGCTGACTTGCCCCAAAGGCTCTGTTGTTGCTGGACCATCAAGGTACACTTGTGAGGGAGACTCCTGGACACCACCCATTTCAGATTCCCTGACCTGTGAAAAAGGTGAGCAGTGACTTGGGACTTGGGGTTCTCATAAAGTCTGGCTCCTCAGGATGGGAAATTCAGTGCACACAACATTGCTGCTTCTCAAGTAGATTTTAGGATGACGGGGATATGTATTTCACCCTGTGTCGATGATGAGGTAACACCTTACTAGCCAAGTGAATGTCTTTAAATTTTAGAGGGTGAGTTCAATTTCCCTTTCCAATAGAAAACTTTGTCATTTACAGATAGTCTAAGGAATGCAAGATCTGTCATCTAACAAGATCAGAATTTATAACTACTGAAATTTCAAATAGAGCACAATAAAAAGTGTGGAACATATAATTAGGCATTGTATTAATTAGCTACATCTGAAATTTCATAGTCCATCATTTGTATCTCCCTATATCTATCACCTTCTCTAAATGATGTGTTTCGGTGCTGGGTGGCATCCTTTTATAATTAACTGTCTAAGCCCTGTCTTCCTGATGTTGATGTTACAGAACGGGAAAGAAATCAGTGTCTGGTATTTGTTCAAAATGCTCCCAGCTAAAGAGGATTTTGAATATTTTTACTACAAAGAAATAGATCTGTTAAATTTGAATAGAACACTAATTTGTGCATGTACCAAAATGTCACATGGAACACCAAAAACAAACACATTTTATATATCGATTTTAAAAGTTTTTAGTCAATATAAAATTTTAAGAAACCTCCCTTGTGAATCCCGTGTTCCTGAAGCAATTGTTTTGAAGAGGAAAAAAAAAATATAGAAATATATTTGAAACAACTGACTACAGAACACTACTGAATTTTCAACTTATTTAAAAATGGATTTTGAAAATTATTTTTATTTAACTATTTAAAGCCTTTGTCTTAAGTATAAGTCCATTTTTCTTTATTTTGGCAGTTTACATTTATATGTTGAATCAATTTATATAATAACAAGGATAGCTGGATCTTTTAAATGTCTAATTACTTTTTGAAGAGAGAGGGTTGTGTGTGTGTGTGTTGTAAAGTCTATTTGTATATGCATGTTTTTGAGAGGGTTTGTGACAAGGGCATGGAAGAACAATTCTGTAGAAAACAGTGGTAACTCACCCATGTCAGTGCAAATATGCACAGTTGCAACCCACATCCCTCACCTCTTCTGACATCCATGCTACTTACCGTAGAAGAGCTACAGCCCTTCAAGTTTGTCTAACTTTTAGCCACATTTCACTAGATGGAATGAAGGCTCCAAAAGAATATAATGATAGAAAATAGAGTTAGCAGGAAAAAAATCTCACAGCTATTTTCAGTACTCAGTTGGATCTCTAACAAAATCCTCATTTCATCAAATCTTGTGCACAATAGGCTAAGTAAGAAACTATGAGCCAGATCCTATGTTCTGCTATGTCATTTAACAAATATTTGCATGTGGCTGTTTGCTCTTCCAACAATTAACTTGTTCACAAAAGCATTCTGGCCCTGTGGATGCTAATGAATCAGACTCAGCTCAAGGAAGTTTGGTTCATCCAACATGGTTGGGATGTCAGCTTTAGGCTAATGCAGCTATTCTAAACATCCCTCTGGGTAGCCTTCCCTAGAAACAGAGATAACCAAGATTATTCCTTACAGAGAATATACCCAAAGTATTAACGGCCTACTTTAGTACCTTTCCTTCATGTAGACTCTATTCAATTCTTCATCTTAGTTCAAGCATGTTTCTTTTGGAATCTTTCCTTACATTTCCCAGCTGAGATCAGTATGGTATATAGTCTCCTGAATCCAAGTTGTCAGTTTAAAGAACTGTGCCTACTTTCATTTACAAACCCATTGTTATACTATTTTATGCACATGAGATAAAAAGTCTTGAATGTAACTACTTTTCTCCAGTTCTGTGTCTGGTACCTTGACCCAAATTACTGTCACCTTTCCCCTGAATTATTAACAAATTCCTCTCTAGATTAATCAAAGAACCACTGTTGTTTCCTTCCTCTGTCTTCATTGATACCTTTCATCCCTCCCACCTCTCCTCACTCTTTTCCTCCTTCCCCTCCGTCTTTCTTTTTAGTTAGCCATAGAATCCTAGTACATAGAAGATATAAATGATTCCAGTTCGGCTCAGTGTTTAGCTGTGGGTGTCCACTTCTGTTTCCATCAGCTACTAGATGAGGGCTTTATGATGGTAGATACATTAGTTGTTGTTTTCATTATCAGGGAAGAGTATTTGTAGTAGCCTTTCCACTGTTGCTCAAATTGTTAGTTGGGGTCAGTCTTGTAGGTCTCTGGACATTTCTCTAGATTCAGTTTTCTCTTCAAACATCTCCCTCTTTTCTGGTCTCTCTCTCTCTCTTTCTCTCTCTCTCTCTCTTCTCTTCTTTTCACTTCTCTTGTCTACTCCTCCCCTGGTTCAATCTTCCTAGTCCCACGTGCTTTCTTCTTCTCCCCTTCTCTCCAGATGCAGAGAGAGAGGACAAGACCAGGCTACAGAAACACATAGAGACAGCTGACCTGAACAAGGAGAAGCTAATGGGCTCCCAGATTAATAGTTGGGGATCCAGCATTGGACAGACTCAGACCCCCTGAACATGGGTCTCAGTTAGAAGGCCTGGGCAGTCTAAGGGACCTAGGACAGTGGAACCAGGATGTATCACTGGTGCACAAAGGACTTTGGGAGCACATTCCCCATAGAGGGATAGTCCCTTAATCTAGAGGCAGGAGAGGCCTAGTCCCTATTCTAAATGACTTGACAGATTTAGATGACCCCTCCTGGAAGGCATGTAGAGTGGGAGGGGGTGGAAGGAAGGGTGGGAGGGAGACATGGGAGGGTGGGAAAGAGAAAAAGAGGGGAAAGGAGAGGGAGGGAAGGACAGAGGGAGGGAGAGGGAACTGGGATCAATATGTAAATAAAAATAATAACTAATAATAATAATAATAATAATAATAAAGAATAAGAAACCCTTAAAAAGAATATATAAATGAAGTGTATTACTCTTGTATGAAAATTGGACTTTCAAGCTACTAACCCTCCCACTTCCACCCACCCCCCCACACACACACCAAATTGCGAGATTCTCATAGTTAACACCCATAATGCTAGATCTCACAGATGTTATATTTGTTCTTGTCTTCTTTGGCCTCTCAACAGGTTTCAACTATATTGACTCTCTCCATTTTAGTTCCTACCTCCCTAGCTGGTTGTGCTGCCTTGTTTTTCACAGGTTCCTGCAAGAGCATTAAACAGTAGTCTCCTTAGACTAAGATTTGCCTCACCATCTCATGCTGCACTCTTGTGCTGGAGAATCATAGTCATACCCACAACCTTAATGATTTCCTCGAAGACTTGATGAATTTATCCTTAGCACAGATTTCTCTGTGAACTCTGAACAGGGATATCCAGATCCCTCAAAGTCTATTTGTCTGGGTAGGCTGAGGGTACCATAAACTCAACATGGGCAGAAACAGCTCTGATTTGTCATCTTCCCATTCCTGAAATCAACCATCTTCTGATACTTTCCCTTTCAGAAGAGACCCCGGTGCCTCTTCTCTTGTGTACATTAGACACTAAGAAATAAGCTTGAGTCTCATTATAACTTAACACAATATTGACAGAATTTATTTTAACACACACACATACACACACACACACTGTTTGCCTACTTCATTCTCGCTTGTCACATACACATATAAAATACTTAATTTTAATTTTTTTATCTTACATACCAACCACAGTTCCCCCCTCCCACCCCTCCCCCCCCCCAGCCTACTCCCATCCACCCCTCCATAAGGGTAAGGCCTCCCTGGGAAGTTAACAAAGCCTGGCACATTAAGTTGACACAGGACCAAGCCCCTCCCCCACTGTACCAAGGCTGAGCATGGCATCCTACCATAGAGAATGGGCCCCACAAAGCCAACTCATGCACCAGGGACAGATCCTGGTCCCACTGCCTGGGCCCTTCCCCAAAAAGACCAAGCCATATAATTGTTGCCCACATGCAGAGGGCCCAGCTTTGTCCCATAGAAGCTCCACAACTGTGGTTTAGATAGAGTTCATGAGTCCCCATGAGCTTGGTTCAGCTTTCTCTATAGATTTCCCCATCATGGTCTTAACCCCCACCCCTTGCTCATGTAATCCCTCCTCTCTCTCTTCAACTGGAGTCCTGGAACTGGGCCTGGATACACACTTATAATTTATCTACTTCTCTCTTCTTTCATATCTGCACCCTTGTTCTAAATTACCATCTCTTTTGTACCTGAGTCACTATAATAACACCATAGCCCTCTTCTCTTGACCTAAACCTCTCCAAAACTATTTTTTCACTAAAGTCAGAGCTTACCTCTTTTTCAAAATCCTAACCTGCTGTTGCCACATGCTTCCTTGCTTAAAACCCATCAAGGTTGTACTGCTTAGAAAATAAAGGGGGATAGACTGATTAGACACCTTAATTTCCATCACATACCACATCCAGGACTTCATCTTGTTTTGTGTTTTTGTTTTTCTGCACTCAGCCACAATGGCCTTCTCTCAGTTCCAGGAAAGTCACATGGTGTCTCATTTTGAATATTTTCATGCATGACGTTCCCTCTACTTCTGACATCTTCTCATCCTTGCCATCTCTCTCTCTCTCTCTCTCTCTCTCTCTCTCTCACTCACACACACACACACACACACACACACAAACACACACACACACACACACACACACACACACACTTCACTGTTCATAACCTTCCTGGTAACAGCAATTTTTCTGAGTGCATGCTTTCTCTTTAATATCACTGATATTGTTAGCAATTCTCTCCATATAATACTGCTTGTTTGATCACCATCTGTCAGCCCCCATTCGGTAAAGGACGTGAGACACAGTTTGCTCAGTCCAGTCTCAGATCCTAGCAAAGTGCTAAAAACATCATGAATGACCCATAAGCATCTGAAAGACAGATGAACAAAACTCTCATCATTTCCATATTTATTTTTGTTTTACTTTTCTGAGCTCAATAGCAATGTTAGGCTGGAAATTAACAAAGGAGGTGAGCTGGAAAGGACATTTCAGATGGAATATTTCATGACAAGTTATTTAGAGCAGCCACAATGAGTGATCTAACCCGGAGATAAATGAGAACCCTTCACCCCTGCCTGCTCTCCCGAATGTAAGCTTGTCACTTAAAACCCTCGAGGACACTGTTCTCCCTCTTCTCTTCTGTTTCAGATAATGTCCTGACAAAATCAAAGGACCTTTGTCAGCCAGGACAAAAACAATCGGGATCCACGTGTATATGTATGTCTCCAGAAGAAGACTGTAGGTATGAAACATTCTGGGGTGTGTCTGCAAATGGAGGAAACCAGTCTAGCAGCCAGTCTGATGAGGAAGCTGACAGTGACATACAAATACAGAACATTAATTTTCACATAACTGAAACTCTTATGTCCAGTTGAATTTCTATTTTGAAGCAAGCCCTTTTTAATTATTTTATTTTTGAGGTTAAAAAAGAATTATGCCATTTCCCCCTTCACTTTCCCAACTCAAATATCCTTCCTGGGAGGAAGTTATTTAAATTATGTCTCAGCCTAACTCCTGAAGTATATGTTGCTTTTATATATTTAAGCAGTCTAATCTTTCTGTTAAAACCCTCAAACTTGAATACATCATAGCCTTCCCTTCCTTACTGAATATAGTTAAGGTAGTCACTCCTTACTTTAACTTACCATTAATTTAAAGAAAGTGTTAAGTATGTACTACACACCACACCACACCCCCACACACACACAAACACACAAACACACACGCTATACACTACACACCACACATACCACACACCACATACTACACATACACATCATACACACACACACACACACACACACATCACCATACCGCACATCACATCATACACACATACCATACACACCATACAATACCATGCATCACACACCACACCACCACCACCACCCCACACACACACAAAGAGAGGCAGACAGAAAGACAGACAAACCACACCACACACACACACACACACGCACACACACACTCACACACACACACACAAAGAGAGAGATAGACAGACAGAGAAACCACACACCACACACTTGCTGATGATTTGTTTCATGTTGAGCAGAAAGAAAAACTAGATGTCCCCGTTTGTGGAACTGTTTGGAAAAGATTAGGAGGTGTGGTATTGCAACTTCTTTTATTGTTTTATTAAAAAATAAAATTCATGAGTTAAATATTAGGGAATAAACCTGGGAGATCTACTGAGTGACAAAGAAGCAGTCCTGACCGTCTCTCCATCTTTCCAGATAGATCAGGCCATGCATCTCTTTGGGCCCCTCATTATTCCTCCTGTGTGTCCCTCTATAGTCCACTTGAACCAGCTGAATGTGGACTTCCCCCTCCAGATCTCCACCCTTCGAACCAGGGTCTGAATATTTTGCCAGTCTGGGAGCAACAACACAAACAAATCTCTGACAACAATGTGGTCTTATTGAGGGAGCTTTGTTACTGCATTTGGGCTTTAAGAACTAAAAAATCCACACCGTTTCCAATTAGCTGTCTCTCTGCTTCATGAATGTGGATCAAGATGTAAGCAAGCTCTCTGCTACTTCTCCAACACAATGCTTACCTGCCTGATGCCATGCTCCCCACGATGGTGGCCATGGACTCTAACCCTCTGGACCAGTTAGTCCCAAATTAAACATTTCATTTATAAACTTTTTCTCATGGTGTTTTATCACAGCAGTAGAAAAATAACTAAGGTATGGGTCTATCCTCCCTTTTGATGTTTTCCCACCTTTAAGATTCTTCTTTCATGGTCTAAGATTACTTTGCTAGAACAAGAAGGAAGACTACAAATAGAAACATTCTTGTTTTGGTTAGTTCTCCTTTCCTGGAAGACTCATCTCTTGCTTCATCTTGCTCATTTTCTCAGAGTCAAATTAGATTCAGTTCCTGAGATAGTAACAGAACACATGTTGCAGAGGAAGTCAACAAACTAGGCACAGTATGAATGTGTCACCTTTAACACTCATTAGCTCCCAGATTCTCCTGTACAAATGAGGACAAACACTTGTAAATGATCAGTCCCCATTGTTTGGGAGAGCAGAGTGGGCCTTTTTCTCTATAATCCCACCATATACATGAGCACAAAGGTGGCTCACCTTGTTCTCCTCAGAAGATGCTCTCTGGAAACTACTAGAAGCATCCATATTGTCGTTTTAACAGAGGAAGCTTCTTCCTGTGTTCTGTGCAGCACCAAATCTTAAACATATACACTACCCCTGGAGAGGCCATCACAACTGTGCTATTCTTTCCAGCCCTTCCTCTACCCATCATTTCTCCTCATAAGGAGTGAAGGTGTTGAGAGTGTTTAGTCCATGGCTTATTTCTTCTGAACAGAGAAAGAAGACTTTTCTTCTAGGGAATAAGGCCTATTATCTGGACATAACTTTGCATACTGTTTCACTGACTGTTAACTCTAAAGCACACATCACAGAAAGAACTCAGATTGAACTAATTGAAAAGATCTATGCTCTCAGCCAAGGGAAAACTGATCTCATATTACATTCGTGTAGCAGAATAGATGAAGTGAGTGAGTCAAGGAATGACTTAAAGCCTCATGTTCTGAAGCATACTACAAACACATTTAAAACATTGTACAGTGATGGAGATACTGTGCAGCAGCAATAGATTAGTTATTTAGAGTTCCAAAGAGATACAGACCCTGAGCTACATAGATCAGGGTAAGCAAAAGAAAGAATGCAATACTGGTGGGTTGTAGCAAAAAAAAATTAAAAGTTTAGAGAGTTGATTTATATAATAGCCAGATATTAAAGAGGGGCTTAAGGATGGGAAAATAAAACAGGACAGTTGGTTGAAGTTAATCATAGAAAATTCTGGCTTTCAATTGTTTGGATGTAAGCATGAATTCAGTTGCAAGCAATGCCAAGATTAAGATGGAAGTTCAAAAATATGAGTCTCATAAAAAACACAAGGTGAAATTAGGGGGCGAGGTAGTAGGAGAGAAATTGACAGTGAAATTTTAAAAAGAAAAATAAATAATAAATTAGTGAAGAAAACTTGAGTGGCAAGTCATTAAACTGGCTATATATCATATTATATCATATTTTTCCCTGCCCTCACATGTAACCCTTGATTTCATTCTTTGAATAGCAATTATTCAGAAGACCTTTGTATATTTGATGTGGGATCCAGCCAATACTTCACTTCATCTGCTTGCAAATTTTTGGCTCAAAAATGTTTAAACAAGAACCAGTTCCATTTTGTACATGCTGGTCCTTGCCAAGAAGGTCCCCAGCTAGAATGGGGTCTTGAGAGACTAAAACTCGCATTGAATAGCACAAGGAAAGTGTCCTGTGGATATGACACCTGCTATGACTGGGAAAAATGCTCAGGTAAGCTACTGTGGTAAACATATACTAGAAATGCTTTAACTCACATTCTACTCACATGGCATGGTATAGTTCCTCCACATTTATACATCATATTTCTAGAATAACCTGACTTTAATCAAAATTTATTTATTTTTATTGAAATTGTAATTATCTAAACAAAGAGGGCAAAAGGTAACTAACCACAAATTAAAAGTAACTATCTTATTAATTCAGATGTGTATCTTTTTTTTTCCCCCTGTGCTTACATAGTCAGTGTTATCCTTAGATTCCAATAAGAGGAATACTTTGCTGTCTAGCTTCAAGCAACCCTTGCCATACCCCACTTGAAGGGTCTTCCTGAGAATTATCTGATTTTCCCTATTGTTTCAGACTCAGTTGTGCCAACTGTGCTATATAGAAAAGATTGAGTTTCAATATGGATACTGATTGATGAAACTTTTCCCTTAAAGTTCTTTATTTCCTCTACTAGTGACTGGGACTTGCAGGACTAGCAATCAGACATTCTGGGCCCAAATTCAGGGTTCCACTGAACTCCCGTTCTGTTTTCCCCTCATGGAACAATCATTGATCATCTACTGCTTCTCTTCTTTGCCTGACCTAGAAGGTCAACTAGATCTCCACATAAAGCACCATGACCCATGTGTACAATGTCATTTCTGTTCTTTCTAATTCTCAGAGCATAGCCTAGTGAGTAAATAATTCACAAAGGACTATTTGCTCAAAATTGCTTGAAAGTGAACTACCAAAATAGTATTGACATTCTCATTTGGATCACTATTTATAAAGACAGACAAATCTATTTAAAAAATTGCTCTGGTGCCTTACACATCTCAGGTATATGCATGCGATATACATACATAAAAGATAAATTGGGAATATATTACATATGGCATTTTATAAATTGATGTATTCATTTAATATAACATGATATAAATGTAACTTTTTCCATGTCCTGATATTATTGTCACAAATTTTAATGTTCACAAAGTCTGTGCAAATATTAACTATGATTTATTTATCCAATGTTTAATTAGTTTAACTTTCCCCTGATATTATAAACAGTGCTATGACAGATAAATTTATCACAAAGGGTTCTATTAATCGAAAATTAGTTATTTAACATGTGACTTAGAAAGTGAAACTTATAGGTAAATAATAGTTAATGATGTCTTCATTTATACATTGACAATTCTTTACAATATACTTTTATCAGATTCTTCTTTTTCCCCCAAAACCCTCCCAAATTCTCTCCTTAAATATTATTTTTAAAGTATAAAATGTTAACTGATACAATGTATTAACCTACTTTTCAGAAATATTTTTATGATAATATATTCCACTTTATCACATATGCTATTCAGCTGCTTCTATCCGGTCCCAAGACTTGAGGTTGTTACTCCATTATAACCTGACAATTTATCCTTAAGGAGTGGCATTTCATTCCCATTCCCCTTAAGTGGATTGCTGTTGGTATCGCTTGTGTGAGCTGACAGGAAGCAGAGACTTCCAAAATAACATCTGCCTCTGAACTAGGCAGTTTCATATAATTTACAAAAATTGTTAGAGATTAGGATTTAACAGAACTCAGATAGGCATCTAGATTTCCCTTATGACACATTTTCAAGAAAGGTATCTGAAACTTGGGAATAAAGACAAAGCAGCCTTACAGATTAAAGCCAGGATTTCTAAATCTTCTTCGAATCCTCCATGACAGCGCCCCTTACCAGCAGGAAGTAGTTTGGAAAGAACAACACCCAAATTCCCAAATATTGTCTATAAATGTTTGTTTTCATTTAAATGGACTTTGTTCTATAAAATAAATTTAAAAAATAAAAAATAAAAGGTTAACTAAGGAAAAAAAAAGTACACAGTCAAATCCTGTGAAGTTGTTCCATCTAAAACCACCTTGTATTCCTAAACATCCATTTTTAGGTCCCAGCTGAGAGAAGAAGAAAATGTCCTACTCAAGTCCACACTCCTTCTGATCAGTTTAAAACTAATAAAAATCATCTTCTTTGGCAGACCACAAGATGTTCCCATAAGAGAGGGAAGATGTGGATTCACACAGCACAGGCTATCTGGTTTTACCCTCACTCAGGAGAATAAAATACCCAAGTCTTTAACCTCCACACCAATTCTGAACAAGGCAGTTCCACATAAGAGACAGAAAACAGAGGCTACTTCATACATCACCCAGGGCTAGTCACTATAAAATCTCTTATAGAAAAAACTTTAGATTCCATATTTTAGTTGTTTGGCCAACAACATTAATCATCTGGCATCTCTCTCAGAAATGGCATTTTGTGATAGAAAAGAGCTACAAATATTATGTAGAATCCTTTCTATATTTAAATATAGCCATTGTCAAAGAGAATTATAGTACATGGATATTATTGTCAAAAATATAGAGAAAGCCACGCATGGGAGCTCTAACCTGCAATCCTAGGACTTGAAAGTCTGGTGCAGGAGGATTTCATGAGTTCAAGACCAAGCAGGATTACAAGGTGATTTCCAGGCCAGGCTGGGTTAAAGCATGAGTCTGTCTCAAAATTCCTTCTACAAAAAATAAAAGGGATTTGGACAGCTGGGTGATGGCTTTTGAAATGGCCTCTGACTTTACTGGATAAGTTGAGATTTGGGGAGGTATTTTAGCATTATCTCTCTGACTTTATTCCTTGCAATGAGGTCTTTGAAGAATTCTTCCTTTAAAAAGATTTTGTTTTACTATATTTTCCATAAAACATTCTCTTCCAATCTGTAAGACTTAAAAATAATTGCTGCAATACAACTTCATCAAAATATCTGCTTTATTAGTACCCCCACACAAACTATCTGCTTTATCTAGTACCCACCAACTCTACTAACACAAGTTCATTTTTAAAAGAAATACCAAATACTTAATTAGTGTTGCTCAAATTAATCGAATGTTTTGGGGCTAATAAAGCTTATAAGCATTTATTAACAAAAAAAAGGTTTGCTTATATAGTTTAAAAAATTTGGTTCTGCACATAGTCAGGCAACTAAAAGCACCCTTTTCTAAAGAAATGATTGGCTTCAGACAGTTTTATTTTATATTTTTATTTATTCTTTGATAATTTTGTACACTGATACAGTGTCTTTCATCATATCCAAGTCAAACTTCCCTCTCCCACTCCCCTTAGCCATACTCCAAGTATTTCCCCCTCCTGCCTCCATATCTCCTTTTCTTCCTCATCATCCTTGTCACCCTCCATGGCCCACTAAGTGCAGCTACTGGCTCTGCAGGGATGTGGGCCCATCCATCTGCACATGGCAGCCCACCAACAGCCACATTCAACCAGAAAATTGATTCCTTCTCCCCAGGCAGGCATCAGTCACCAATAGCTCCTCATCTCAGGATCTGCTCTCCCTTTTCACTGGCTTGTTTCATGCAGATCTTATGCAGTTACCAAGGCTGTCTTAGGTTCATGAGTGCAATGGCCACATTGTTTTCAGAAGGCAGCATTTCACAGCATCTCTCCCATCCTCCAGCTCTTACATCCTTTCCATCCTCTCTCCTTTGATGTTCCCTGAGCCTTCTGTGTGGGTGAGGCAACATAAATGCCCTATTTAGTGCTGAGAATGCAACAGTTTCTTATTCTCAGCACTTTAACCAGCTATTACTCTCCCCAATGACTGACTGCCCCATGGCAAAAGAGGCTTCTCAGAAAAGACTGAAAACAGCACTAATCTACTGGTATAAATGTAAAGATTTAGAAAGCAGTTTGGCAATAAGTCCACTTAACAGAACAGCAGCAGGGACATCCCACATGCGTGCACACGCGCGCACGCGCACACACACACACACACACACACACACACACACACACACACAGAGCTCCTAGAGCCTATGAACTTCCTCGCTATGGACTTTTAACCAGTCTTAGGTACCAGGCATAAAATGCCTCCTGTGGATTAGGCATCAAATGCAATTAGAAAATAGCCAATTCTGCCTCTGCCAGTCTTTAACTCATGATCAAATGTCTGCATCACAGTAAATAATGCTGGGAGTCACACCATCAAAAGGTATGAACAAATGCATTTACAAAGAAAGAGAATTTAGAGATGTATTTTATACCCAAGCCACTTGCTGCAAGTTGTAGTCCTAGTATTATTAAGTTGAATTGGTCTATCTTGCTTAAACTATGTTCAAGATTGCACTGGGCTCTCTGCTTCTCCTTTTCTTCCCTATTTAAAATGAAATTATAAAAAAATTTAAAATAGTCTAAAGTGGAATATCAAAGAAGCAAGATGTTCTCTCTTCAGAACTTAAGAAATGGCTCCCTTAGGGGACCTATTTTTATGGATATTAAATATTCTTTCTGAATTACAAAAATACCCATTACCAACAAACCAGCCAACAGGAAGGGGAAATTCATTCAGCAAAAACCCATTTAACATCCCACCTATGGAAGTTCCTCTACAGTCTGGTGAGGGGGCTGAACATAAGGGACTCTTTGTTCTCCTCAGATTGATCACAACCCCTGCAGAACTTACATTAAACAATTCTTTCTTTATGCAATATTTTAATTAAATTTTTTTTTCAATTTTATTATTTTTTCTTATTTTACACATCAATCCCAGTTCCCTCTCCCTCCCTCCCATGCCTCCCCGACCCCCCTCCCATCCCATTTCCCACACACACACACTGCTAACTTAACAGATTTTGATGATCCCTCCTGGAAGGCATCATGTTAACCAATTCTTGCCTGACTCGTTTCAACACAAAGTAGTGTGATAAGAACTGTAAGACAGAGATGAGTCTTCTGACCTGGATTTCATAAGCATGGAAGTGTGAGAACTGAGCACTGACAGATTTCTTCCTAGACATGGTGGGAGTGGCCCTTAGGTGCTGAAAATAAACAGGTTTGGTACCTGCAAGTCATGATACACGGGGGGGGGGGGGGAGAGAGAGAGAGAGAGAGAGAGGTGATAGCACCTTTTCAAGACCTGAGAGAACTGGTTTGCTTAGACAATGTAGAACAATCCCTTGGTCTTCTTTCTCCAACTCCATCCTTCTGACAATAAAGAAGATTTTCCCACTACCCTTACCTTCTCCAATTGACTGCAGATTAGATAAAACAGGCAAGTTCCAAGCACAACAAGACACTCTGCCTCTGTAAGATAAGTTAGAGAGCAATCCAGGAAAATACCTGGTGGCAACACACACACACACACACATAAACACACACACATTAAAACAGAAGATGATTGCATGAACACAGGATTTGTATGAACTATGCAGTGACTAGATGCCTCAAAAACTGGCTCTCATGGGAGAATCACCCAAATTAACTGCTTATTAAATTACAGACCACAGATACAACCAAGTAGTATTCTAGTATGAAATAAGTAAATACGACATAGAGTTACATTAGATGAGCATGGGGGCCATTCATTAAAATACTCGCCCCTCCTATTTATTATTTGGTTAGAGGCAAACTCTGAGTTTAGTTTATTCATCTGTAGAACTGGTACAGGGCAGGTCATAGACTTGTAAGGATTCAATAAAGTATAAATGTATTGTATTGTTTCAGAGTTCATGTCCAATAAATAATAACTGTAATGTTATATAAGAACAGGACACATCACAAACCTTGTATAAATGGCTCAATAGAATGAGTGAGAGAAAAAGCTCAAATCCTGACTAGCTGTAGGTTATGAGGAACAGAAGGGATCAACAATGGCCCAGTTCTGGAATATTATTAACTTAGGAGGGCACTCTGCTGTCTCAAATTATCATCTATCCATCCATCTTAGTTTGGAATGTCACCTTAGTTTCAGCTTTCTCTTCATTGACAAAAAGGAACTCAGTACTACAGGAAAGGCTTAAATAAAACCAAGCCACAATGGACCATCTGAGATGACTCACACTGTCTCTTTCATTGCAGCCCACACTTCCAATTGTGTCTGCCTGTTGCCCCCACAGTGCTCCAAGGATGGAAACCAACTCTACTGTGTCATAATGGGATCCTCAACACGTGCGAAAAGAGTAAACATCTGTACAGTGGGAGCTGTGAGGTGTGCAAACAGGAAGGTGGAAATACTGACCCCTGGGAGGTGTTTGGATTAGCATTGTTGCTGATAAGTTCAAAACAGTGCCTCCAAAAGCAGGGATGGGCACAAGGACAGGAATTGGGGAAAGTGAATGGATGTAACCAGAGGATAAAGACACTTATATCCAGGGATGCCATGATAAAATTTTTTTTACTTTGTATGATAACCTAAAAGGTAATTTTTAAAAACATTATATGAAGAGAAAACTGGCATGGACATAAATTATTGGACAAAATTATTTTGTGCTGTCTTTATATCACTACCCTCCCACCAACTCCCATTTGATCACCCCTATCTAATTCTAGTATATGTTGTCCTGTGTCTTACTTCTGAGTTGAAACATCCATATGTTTAAAAACATGCTAAATCATCTTTTTTTCTATTTTATATAACCAAGTCCATTTAAATGAAAACAAACATTTATGGACAATATTTGGGAATTTAGGCGTTGTTCTTTCCAAACTACTTCCTGCTGGTAAGGGGCACTGTCATGGGGGATTCGAAGAAGATTCAGATATCCTGGCTGTAGTCTGTAGGGCTGTTTTGTCCAGCTGTTTTGAATGAAGGATCACCTGGTACTCTGTTTCAGGTGATCTGGCTTTATCAAGCCACTTTAGTCTGAAAGGAATCCACATCTTTTCATTTTCTGTGGAAACAAAAATAGAAATCCTTTTCCCCAGTAACTTGTCCTTGAACTTAAATTTTGGAGTCAAAGCATTTTTTTAATTTAATTTATTATTTTACATGTCAATCCCAGTTCCCTCTCCCTCACTCCCTCCCAACCTCCCTCACTCCCTCCCTTCCTCTCTCCCTCCTTCCCTCCCTTTTACCCTCTCTGCCCCATCACATGCACTCTAAACACCCTCCCATCCCATCCCTCCACCCCAATTCCATATGTAGGGGAATGCCATCCAGTAGGGGTCATGTAGATCTGACATGTAGATCATGTGAAGTAGGGACTAGGACTTCTCTCCTGTCTCTAGATTAAGGCAGTTATCCCTCCATGGGGGATGTGTTCACAAAGTCCTTTTATGCTCCAGGGATACATCCTGGCTCCATTGTCTGTGGTCTCTTAGACTGCTCAGTCCTTCTGGCTGAGACCCATATTCAGGGGGGCTTGAGTCAGTCCCATGCTGCCTTACCAGCTATCAGTCTGGTGGCCTGTTAGCTCCTCCTTGTTCAAGTAAGCTGTCTCTATGTGTTTCTGCCCCATGGTCTTTTCCTCTCCCTCTGGATCTGAGTTCTGCTTTGACTCAGTGTTTATGTATGGGTGTTTGCTCCTGTTTCCAACAGGCATTAGTTGAGGGCTCCATGGAGAAGTTAATTGTTGATCTCACTCTCCTGGAAGGGCATTTATGATAGCCTTTCCACGGAAGCTCAAATTGTTAATTGGCAACAGTCTTGTAGTTCTCTACACCTTTCTTTGTGCTCAATTTTATCTTCAAACCAATATTGGCTCCCTCTTTTATGTTATCCTCTCTCTCTCTCTCTCTCTCTCTCTCTCTCTCTCTCTCTCTCTCTCTCTCTCTCTCTCTCTCTTTTCCTGTCTTCTATTCCTAACCAGGCTCAATCTTCCTGGTCGCACATGTTTTCCTTTCCTCCCCCTCATTTTCTCCTGCTTCTCTCTCCATTCGCTGCCCCCCCCACTTCACCTGAGCTCTGGGGGACTTGTCCCTTCCCAGTTCTGTGAGGGACTTTATATGAATCTCTTAGAATACACCTTGTATCCTAGTTCCTCTGGTGATGTGAATTATAGGCTAGTGATACTTTGATCTAGGTCTAAAATCCATATATGAGTGAGTACATACTGTGTTCCTATTTTGTGACTGGGCTACCTCATTCAGGATGGTTTCTTCAAGTGCCATCCACTTGCCTGTGAATTTCAAGATACCATTATTTTTTTTCTGCAGAGTAGTATTCCATTGTGTAAATGTGCCACATCTTCATTAACCATTCTTCAATTGAGGGGCATCTAGGTTGCTTCCAGGTTCTTGCTATTACAAATAGTGCTGCTATGAACATAGTTTAATAGATGTCTTTGTTGCATGGATGTGAATCCTTTGGGTATATGCCTAAGAGGGGGATTGTCGGGTCCTGTGGTAAACTAATTCCCATTTTCCTGAGGAACCGCCATACTGATCTCCAAAATGGCTGTATGAGTTTGCACTCCCACCAGCAGTGGAGGAGTTTTCCACTTTCTCCACATCCTCTCCAACATGATTCATCATTGGTGTTTCTAATTTTAGCCATTCTGGCAGGGGTAAGATGGTATCTCAAAGTTATTTTGATTTGCATTTCCCTGATAGCTAGGGATGTGGAAAATTTTCTTAAGTGTCTTCCAGCCTTTTTGATTTCCTCTATTGAGAATTCTTTCTTCAGTTCTGTACCCCATTTTTTAATATGGATATTTGGTGTTTTTGTTCACTAGTTTCTTGAGTTCTTTGTATATTTTGGAGATCAGCCCTTTGTTGGATATAGGATTGGTGAAAATCTTTTCCCAGTCTGTGGGCTGCCGTCTGGTCTTGTCTACTGTGTCCTTTGCTTTACAGAAGCTTCTAAGTTTGAAGAGGTCCCATTTATTAATTGTTTCTCTCAATGTCTGTGCCCCTGGAGTTATGTTCAGGAAGAGGTCTCCTATACCAATTTGTTCAAGGGTACCTCCTACTTTCTCTTCTAAGAGGTTCAATGTGGCTGGATTGATGTTGAGGTTTTTGATCCATTTGGACATGAGTTTTGTGCACGGCGACAGACATGGGTCTATCTGCAGTCTTCTACACACCGTCATCCAATTGTGCCAGCACCATTTGTTGAAGATGCTGTCTTCACCCCATTGTATAATTTTAGCTGTTTTGTCGAAAATCAGGTGTTCATAGGTGTGTGGGTTAGTATCAGGATTTTCAATTCGATTCCTGTCTATTTTTATGCCAATACCAGGCTGTTTTCAGAACTATAGCTCTGTAGTAGAGCTTAAAGTCAGGAATGGTGATGCCTCCTGAAGTTATTTTATTGTATAGGGTTGTTTTGGCTATCCTGGGTTTTTTGTTTTTCCATATAAAGTTTATTATCTTTTCAAGGTCAGTGAAGAATTGTGGTGGGATTTTAATGGGGGTTGCATTGAATCTGTAGATTGCTTTTGGCAAGATTGCCATTTTTACTATGTTTATCCTACCTATCCAAGAGCATAGGAGATCTTTCCATTTTTTGGTATCTTCTTTAATTTCTTTCTTTAGAGCCACAAAGTTCTTATTATATAGGTCTTTTACTTGTTTGGTAAGCGTTACACCAAGATACTTTATGGTGCTTGTGGCTATTATAAAGTGTGTTGTTTCTCTGATTTCTTTCTCTGTCTCTTTGTTGTCTGAAAAAAGTAGGACTACTGATTTTTTTGAGTTTATCTTGTATCGTGCTAGTTTGCTGAAGGTGTTTATCACCTGTAGGAGTTCCCTGGTAGAGTTTGTGAGGTCGGTTATGTAAACTATCCTATCATCTGCAAATAGAGAAAGTTTGACTTCTTCCTTTCCAATTTGGATCCCCTTGATCTCCTTTTGTTGTCTTACAGCATTAGCTAGAACTTCTAGTAAGATATTGAAGAGATATGGAGAGAGAGGGCAGCCTTGTCTTGTTCCTAATTTTAGAGTAATTGGCTTAAGTTTCTCTCCATTCAGTTTGATGTTCGCAGTTGGTTTGCTGTATGTTGCTCTTATTATGTTTAGGTATGTTCCTGTTATCGCTGACCTCTCCAAGACCTTTATCATGAAAGGGTGTTGAATTTTGTCGAAGGCTTTTTGCACATCTAGGGAGATAATCATATGGTTTTTCCTTTTCTGTTTGTTTATATGGTGGATCACGTTGATAGATTTTCATATGTTAAAACATCCCTGCATTCCAGGGATAAAGCCTACTTGGTCATGGTGGATGATTTCTCTGATGTATACTTGAATTTGGTTTGCCAATATTTTATTGAGTATTTTTGCATCAATGTTCATCAGGGATAATGGTCTATAGTTTTCATTCTTAGTTGTATCTTTGTGAGGCTTGGGTACCAAGGTTATTGTGGCCTCATAAAAATAGGTTGGCAATGAAACTTCTGTTTCTATCTTGTGGAACAGTTTGAGGAGTAGTGGTATTAGTTCTTCCTTGAATGTCTGGTAGAATTCTGCATTGAATCCATCTGGCCCTGGACTTTTTTTGGTTGGAAAGCTTTCGATGACTGCTTCTATTTCATTGCGGGTTATAGGTCTATTTAAGTTGTTTGTCTGTTCTTGATTTAGTTTTGGTAAGTGATAGATATCCAGAAATTTGTCCATTTCTTTTGAATTTTCAATTTTTGTGGAATACAGATTTTCAAAGTATGACCTGAAAATTGTCTGGATTTCCTCTCTGTCTATTGTTATGTTCCCCTTTTCGTTTCTGATTTTGTTAATTTGCACGTTCTCTCTCTGTTTTTTCATTAATTTGGATAAAGGTTTGTCTATCTTGTTGATTTTCTCAAAAAACCAACTCTTCGTTGCATTGATTTTTTTGTATTGTATTCCTTGTTTCTATTTTGTTGATTTCAGCCCTCAAGTTGATTATTTCCTGGGATGAATTCGCTTCTCTCTGTTCTAAGGCTTTTAGTTGCGCTGTTAATTCTCTTATGTGACTATCCTCTGTTTTCTTCATATGGGCACTTAGTGCAATGAACTTCCCTCGAAGCACTGCTTTCAAGGTGTCCCATAAGTTCGGGTATGTTGTGTCCTCATTCTGGTTGAATATTAGAAAGTCTTTAATTTCTTTCTTTATTTCTTCTTTGACCCAGGAGTGGTACAATTGCACATTGCTCAGTTTTCATGAGTTTGCAGGTTTTCTGCTATTTGTGTTGTTGTTGAATTCCAATTTTAAAGCATGGTGGTCTGATAAGATACAGAGGGCTATTTCAATTATTTTGTATCTGTTGAGGTTTGTTATGTTGCCTAGTATGTGGTTGACTTTGGAGAAGGTTCCATGTGGAGTTGAGAAGAAGGTATATTCTTTTGTGTTTGGGTGGAATGTTCTATAGATGTCTGTTAATCCCAATTGGAACGTAACTTCTGTTAGTTCTTTTGTTTCCTTGTTAAGTTTCTGTCTAGTGGTCCTATCTAGTGGTGAGAGTGGGATGTTGAAGTCTTCCACTATGAGTGTGTGAGGTTTTATATGAGCTTTGAGTTTCAGTAGTGTTTTTTTTATGAATGTGGCCGCTTTTGTAT